GAACAATTTTGGCATGCCTCCTCCACATGCAGCACAAACTCTCCCCTTAGCCCAGACTTTAGGATACAGCCTCCATTGCAACAAAAGGGAGTGATATAACTTGAGAAAGATCAGGCTACCATAAAAAAGGATAGTATAAAATCTAGCCTTATAAAAGTTAGTGAGGCGAACATAGAGTCCGTTTGGGTTACGTCAGAATTTGGTAATCACAGTAATTTGTGTAGGTGTGATTTATAGGCTCCCAGGACAAATAGAAGAGTAAGATAATCTACTAGTTGAGAAAATAGCTAAAATGACAATGGAGGGGTAAGTTATCATCATGGGTGACTTTAATCTTCTTGATGTGAACTGGAAAACCAAAATAGCTGCTTGTGCCAGGAGCCCACATATTGTAAACTCCCTACTTGGATTGCCTCGAAAAAAAGTCATTGAGGAGCCAACTCGTGAAGAGGACATACTAGATTTAGTGTTAAAAAATGGAGATCAGATATTACTGTAGGTGAAAGTTTAGGATCCAGTGATCATCAGTCAGTGTGGCTTAATATAAGAACAGTGACTGAGTCACACCACACAAAAACAAAAGTTTTAGACTTTAGAAAAACAGACTTTTCTAAAATTAGAATATGTGTAAAGGAGTCATTATCAGACTGGAGCAATTTAAATGGAGTCCAAGAGAAATGGGATTATTTAAACGTTGCACTGCTGAATGGAACAGAAAATTGCATTAGTCAGTAATATCAAAAGATTTAAGAAACCACTGTGGTACTCCGCAGATGTGGCGAAAATAATAAAAAACAAAAAGTTGGCATTTAGTAATTATTAAAAAACCCAGAATGAGGAAGATAGACAGATATATAAGATTAGGCAGAAAGAGGCTGAGTGAGTTATAAGAGCTTCCAAATCACACACAGAAGAGAAAATAGCACAGTCAGTAAAAAAAGGGGACAAAACATTTTTTAGATACATAAATGAGAAAAGGAAAGTAAAACAAGGATTAGTTAGATTTAAAAAAAAAAGAAGGATGGTATATAGAAGAGGATAAAGGTCTAGCTGACTACCTCAATGAATATTTTTGTTCAGTATTTACAGATGAAAATGAAGGAAAGGGGCCTCAGTTAGGAAAAAGGACAAATGAGTCATTTGTTAAATGTGAGTTTACATAGGAAGAGGTTCTATTTCAACTGTCAAACTTAAAGACAAATAGGTCAATTGGACCTGATGGAATACACCCAAAGTTATCAAAAGAGCTTAGTGGTATACTAGCAAAACCATTAACAGATTTACTTAACCAATCATTGTTAACATGAGTAGTCCCAGAAGATTGGAAGTTAGCGAATGTTGTGCCCATTCACAAGAAAGGTAGTAGGGAGGAGTCGGCAACTAGAGACCTGTAAGCCCTACTACAGTAGTGGGGAAAGTAATGGAAACCATGTTAAAGGATAGGATTGTTGAACATCTAAATCACATGGATTTCAAGATCAGTGACAACATGGGTTTACATCAGGGAGATCATGCCAAACTAATCTTATTGATTTTTTTGATTGGGTAACTAATATAATAGATCAGGGTGGTGCAGTAGACATTGCTTATCTAGATTTCAGTAAGTCTTTTGACACTGTTGCACATAGAAGGTTTATCAATAAACTGCAATCTTTAAGTTTGGATTCCAATATTGTTGAATGGATAAGGCAGTGGCTGAGTGACAGGCTACAGAGGGTTGTAGTCAATGGAGTATATTGGGGTCCCTGGGGTACCTCAGGGATCTGTACTTGGACCCATTCTCTTTAATATTTCTATTAGTGATATTGCAGAAGGTCTCGATGGGAAGGTATGTCTTTTTGCTGATAATACTAACATTTGTAACAGGGTTGATGTTCCAGGAGGCATAAGCCAAATGGCAAATGATTTAGGTAAACTAGAAACATGGTCAGTATTGTACGCAGTATTGGAGACCGTATCTCCAGAAGGATACATTAGAGAGTTAAGAGAAGGGCTACTAAACTGGTTCATGGATTGCAGGATATAACTTAAAAGGAAAGGTTAAAGGATCTTAACATGTATAGCTTGGAGGAAAGACGAGACGGGGGGATATGATAGAAACATTTAAATACATAAAGGGAATCAACACAGTAAAGGAGGAGACTATATTTAAAAGAAGAAACTACCACAACAAGAGGACATAGTCTTAAATTAGAGGGGCAAAGGTTTAAAAATAATATCAGGAAGTATTACTTTACTGAGAGGGTAGTGGATGCATGGAAAAGCCTTCCAGCTGAAGTGGTAGAGGTTAACACAATAAAGGAGTTTAAGCATGCGTGGGATAGGCATAAGGCTATCCTAACTATAAGATAAGGCCAGGGACTAATTAAAGTATTTCGAAAATTGGGCAGACTAGATGGGCCGAATGGTTCTTATCTGACGTCACATTCTATGTTTCTATGTAATCCATAGACGCTGGATTAAGGGTGAATTTTGTGGGGGGGAGGACACACCAGTAAGGTATTCTATAGCCAAAAACAGCATTTAACCCCGTAAGGACGGTGGGCGAACGTGCGATGCGCTCATGAAAAAGGTAGGTTTTAACACTGCAGTGCGGAAGAGTTACAACCCTGTAACTTTGCAAAACAAAATAAAACCTATAGATGGGGGTAATGTTGTACTCACAAGACATCGCTGAACACAAATATATATTTTATTACAGTAAATGCTAACAGTATCATGACATTCACAGTAAAATGCCATGCAGAACTTGGAAATAACATTTGTTAATTTCTCACACTTTGTTAAAATTTACTCATATTACATTATGTTCATATATAAATATTTAATGTTACATGAAAGTCTTATTTCTCCTAAACAAAATTATATAATAAGTGTGCGTGAACTTAATATGAAAGAGGTAACTTAAGGTTGAATAGACATATAGCTCAAATTCTAGAGTTTGTTTACATTTTATTTTGATCAGAACTGTTACAATTGCCTCTGTCCTTAAGGGGTTAATAAAATACTGCTTTTGGTTGGAGTAACCCTTTAAATTAGGAATCACTTTTCTTAAACAGGTTTCTAAAATGAAAGCATAGATTTAGTATAAAATAAAGATAACTGATGCTGATTAACTGATATAGACTGAACCTTGAAGAGTCTCATCTCAACCATTCATTCACAGAATATGTTGAACTCAGAATGATACTCCATCATCAATTATTATGGTGCATATTTCAGGTGGATCCCCATTCTAGACTAGATGACTATAGGTCCAACATTCCATGGATGAGCTGCTCAAATCCACATGGTAACAGGGAGACGCATAAAAATTAAGTCACAATTGCCTTGACAAAATCCTAGAAAAAAAAAGTTGCATGTTTTTCATTAGTCATACTCCGCCATGATAAAAGTAAAAGTTTGCATAATATCTAAAGCTTTGATCATCTACAGAAACAGCATGCTTCATCAATCTCTCTTGTTTTTTTTTTTAAATGTATTGATACAGTATGTTTCCACTTTTCCACTGGTCCCAACGGTGTTGCTTCTGCCATTATTACATTTTTCTTGGCCTTTAGGTTCCAGCTTCTCAAATCTACTTTGCTAGTTTCATGCTTTCCTATGAGACTGGCTGAATGCGAGCGCAGCTCCTGCCGCGCGTGCGCATTCAGCCAAAGAGGCGGAGAGGAGGAGGAGAGCTCCCTGCCCGGCGCTGGAAAAAAGGTAAGTTTTAACCCTTTCCTTTCCATCCAGCCCGGCGGGAGTGGGACCCTGAGGGTGGGGGCACCGTCAGGGCACTATAGTGCCAGGAAAACGAGTATGTTTTCCTGGCACTATATTGGTCCTTTAACACTACAGCTGTTGTACTGCACTTCAAAAAGGTGGATATAATAAGCATTAATGAAAGCATGGAGAATAAATAGTTGATATGGTAGTACCATTACCTGTTGTGAAATATTAATTGTCATTTAAAGGACAACTGTCACCGCAAAACTATTTTTTAATATAATAATTATTTCATCAAATATGGAAAGGAATGGGATTTTTTTTTACATGAAGTATATGTAAAAAAAATAAATTATAAAAACCCATCCCCACCTTTACTATATGACGTGAGTGAAGCAGGGAAAATATTAGAGACTGTTTTAACCCAAGGTGTATTTATAAGGCTCCTTACATATAATAAAGGTAGGGATGAGTTATTTCTCATTCTTTTACATGTGCTCAATCTAAGAAAGAACCTATTCCTTTTTAAAACTTGATGAAAAACTCAATAATGTTGAGGTGACACAGACATTCCAATTTTGGCATTTTGCATGCGGCTCCCTGACACCCGCATACCATGTACTGTTCTAGCCACCTAGCTAAAATGCATTTTTGCATGTTGGGATATCTGGGTGACAGTTGTCCTCTAAGCCTCTCCAGCTGAAGTGGTTTTGGTGCAAGAACCCTGTCCCTACAGTCTTACAGGTTTATTAATTAAAAACCGAATTGTTTATTAACCAGAACAGAATGGAAAATATGAGGCAAAATTAACATAGCTGCAACTATAGCTGAGAATTAATCTGTTGTTCAGCTACCTTGGCAATTCTGATTTTAAGTTTACCAGATTCAGAGTCACTAAACCCTTTTAATTCCAACACGAATCTGATGTATGAGGAAATCCTTCAGCACACATAGATGTGCAAAGCTCACTGGCATTTAAACAGTCCCCCCCAAAATATATATTTTTTTAAAATCATGGCATACACTTAACCCTGAAGTGTGCCATAAGAGTATTGCATTAATTTTCACTATAGTGATCATTTCAGATATCACTATGCCGTGTAACCAAATAATAGGCGAACAGAAGTAATTTTAAGTGGACTTTTATTTCCGAAGAAGTATTAAACATTGTTATACTTTTCTGCAACTCTGGATAGCTGAGCAGCTATTTTTTTTATCATAGCAAACTTTTCCAGAAGAGGAGGTAATTCAATTCTATTCCTCTCTAGTTTCCACCTATATTCATGTACAGGCTGGAATTGGCAAATAATGTACGTTCACATCTGATTTGTCTCCAAGCAATGCTCCAATAGACAGTGAGCAGACACTTCCTGTTCCTTGGCCATTCAGGAGACAGAAGCCTTTCCCAGCCAGTGCATTCAGTTACCGCCATAATTTGAATCATCCCATGTCACTGATCACAGTGTTCGGCTGGTAGTAACAGTTCCATTTCTGATACTGTACATTCTGTGATCGAATCATGGTGGAAGGCCCGGGCTGCACGCTGAATGGGGAGAAGATTCGAGCGAGGGTTCCACCGGGGCAGACTGTGCAGGAGTTGAGGGGGAGCGCAGTATCTGGCAAGGTGAGCGAGTGTTATACAACTGTCACAGGGATGCCAATCGCTTACTGATCCCGTTAACACTTTGTGGCAGGGGGCATTATATATAACATTCTTGCAATCCATAGCATTATTAACAGCAAGCTATGTTAGGAGACTCCTGTTAGATTATTACACTGCTAGATTAACCATTTGAGTGCCACACCGTGGAGCAGTAGGTAGCACTAGACGGTTAGGGCTACACAGGCAGAGAAATTTCCCTTGGACTCGATGTAGAGCCTTTTCATACAGCAAAAATCATATGTATGGATTCTGGAAGGCAACAGTGCAAGTGTTTCACGGCAGGGATGGTTCAAAGGTCGCCAAGCCCTGCTTGCAAAGCATCACGGGGGTTGTAGTTCTATAACAAGTGATGGGATTTGTGTCATCCTTGCTGTAAATGTATGTGTAGGTTTCTGTATGTCTTGGTCTGACTGGAATATAACATTTTATTTCACAAACACAATGAAGTAGGTTTTATGTTAGAAAACTAAAGGGTTAGTCTAAGCACTCTGCATGGTTGCAAACAGCATGGTGCTTACAGTGCCCTGATCGAACTCATTTATTAGAACAGGCAATAGCACTGACAATTTGTAAAAGTTTGTGCTCTAAGACAGCCCTACCGAACGCCAGAGGTGCCATGGGAAAGTTTTTTTTTTTTTTTTTTTTATGTGGGCATAATATCCTATCGTGGGCTCGAGTTAGTAGATCATGCCCATGAGAATGCTAATGCATGCTTACAGGTTAACTAATTTAGCTCAGTTCGGCCATGGTCGTCAATCTTCTCAACCCCTTCTCTCCTGTGACATAGAGGTGCCAGCTTCTGGTCCTCTCTGCTTGGTATGTTTTGAAATGGCATATATGGTATATAATTTTAGCATTTTAAAACAGGGATCTGTTTGTATGCAGTGGTGTGTTTGTATGTAGTGTTGGATTTTAGATGCGGATGTACATTCGTGTGTAGTATTGGTGTTTGAGTAAAGGGTGTGTTTGTATGTAGTGTTGGAGTTCAGGTCTGTCATGTTTGTGTTTGCATGTTGTGTTCGTGCTTGATTGCTGGGATGTTTGAACATACCCTGCCACATACATAGTGACACAGATATAAATACACATTAACAAATAGAAACACACTGACATACAGATACATACACCTTGACATACGTACACACACTGGCATATACACACACTGGCACATACACAAATTATTATTATGATATCTATAGAGCGCCGTCAAATTCCGCAGCGCTTTACAATGGGTGGACGAACAGACATGTAGTTGTAACCAGATAGTTGGACACACAGGAACAGAGGGGTTGAGGGCCCTGCTCAATGAGCTTACATGCTAGAGGGAGTGGGTTAAAATGACACAAAAAGGTAAGGATAGTATTAGACTAGGGACAGTTGCAGAAGAGATATCAGTCAGGAGCTATTAACAGTTTAATTGATACGCCTTTATGAAGAAGTGGGTTTTTAACGATTTTTTTGAAGGAGTGGAGACTGGGTGAGCATCTAACGGAGGAGGGAAGCGAGTTCCACAGGAACGGTGCAGCCCTCGAGAAATCTTGAAGGCGAGCATCAGAGGTGGGAGTACGGACAGAAGATAGACGTAAGTCTTCAGCAGATCGTAAGGGCCTAGACGGGACATACTTGTGTATAAGGGAGGATAGATAGGTGGGAGCAGCATTATGTAGCGATTTGAAAGCAAGAACCAGAATTTTAAATTGAGCTCTATATTTTATAGGAAGCCAATGTAGGGACTGACAGAAGGGTGAGGCATGGGAGGTGCGGGCGGACAGGAAGATGAGCCTCGCCGCCGCATTCATTATGGACTGTAACTGCGCTAGTTGGGAGCACGTAAGACCACTGAGAAGCTGATTACAGTAGTCAAGGCGAGAAAGGACAGTGGAATGGACCAACACCTTAATCGCATCTGGCGTTAAGTAGGGGCGGATGCGCGCAATGTTTTTGAAATGGAAATGACAGGATTTGGCGATAGATTGAACATGAGGCTTGAAGGAGAGGTCGGAGTCAAAGAGAACACCTAGGCAGCGAGCCTGCATGGTGGAGCTGATGGTAGCACTGTTGACTTGGAGGGAGACAGACACAGGAGTAACAACACTTGAGGGAGGAAAGACCAGAATTTCAGTTTTGGTCAGGTTTAGTTTTAGGAAGTGGGCAGCCATCCAGTTAGAAACAGCAGAGAGGCAGTCAGAAACACTAGTCTAGAGGGACGGGGAGAGATCAGGAGAGGACAGATAGATTTGCGTGTCATCTGCATTGAAATGATATTGGAAGCCAAAGGAGCTAAGGAGTTTACCAAGGGAGGCAGTATAGATGGAGGATGGAGAACAGTAGGGGACCAAATACACTGACACACACTGGGAGATGCATATACGCACGCGCACGCACACACACACACATACTGGCAGATAGACACAGACAAACCGATACACAGTGATGCATACACACCTTAACACACAGATACGCATACAAACAGGTCATAATGTTTATAGTTGCAGCCATCCTCCTACTAGCTTATCTTTTTTTTTTTTTTTTTTTCAAGAGGGTGGCTTGCTTGGAGTGCTGCTGGTTGCTGGTGTGTGAGGTTGGCAGCAGCTCTTTCCCCCCTCCTGCCTTCTCTCTGTCGCGCTTGGTGCTCTCTGTGTCTGGGAGGAAGTGACCGGCTGTCACTTCCTCCCAGCATCCATAGTACAGGGGCCCGGTCGCGCTCTTATAGGGCTGCAGCGCCTGACCAGGCCCCTTTTTAGCGTTGCCCCTGTTTAAGGGCCATCAGCTGGTCTTAGTGCTTGGGACACCCGATGCGCAAATTGCAGCGGAACCCCAGTTTTGTTCTTGCTGAACCCCAATTGGGAAACACTGGTTTAGTAAATCGTGCAAATAAATTAAACAGTGAGCGTACATTAATCTCGTGCACACAATCTAATAATTCATGTGCACTAACTAGTACAGTACGCTCACGATTTAAAAATAATAAAAATTTACTCTGTCACCTTCGGGTCTCTGTACAGCCCAGAACTCTGAATTACCAGTGTAAATTATGTCTGTATTGTGCAAGGTGTGAGCACGCTGCAAACACTATAGGGTAGGTTCTCCCCTCACAGGAGAAAGATCCAAGATGCTTACAGTAATAAAAGCACAATAATTGATGTAAGAGAGTGAATGTTGTATGCACAGACTAGCACAATGTAATAATTGTCCACAAGCTGCCACAATTAGACATTGCTTCAGTGCCAATGAAGCCTTCCAAAGCCAGATGTCAATGAACTTTGGTCAGATTTTTTGTTCTATAACTATATTTACTCGGGTTGTGTAGCGATAAAATAACACCCGGTGCTATGGTACAAAATAATGGGAAGCCCAAAGGTTTGAAAAAAGAACATTTTCTGCAAAGCTGACATAAATATAAATATTAAACTGTTACTTTGCAGTTTTGTTTTGTTTGTGCTAATCTTATGTATTTTTTTTTTTTTTTTAATCTTTTTTTTAGCCTGCATGCATTGCTGGGCACAGTCTCGCAAAATGTATAAATTAGTTAACGGTTGCAGTATTGTACGCACAATAAATGTGTGTTAACACATATGGCATTTCTCTGTAAGGTGCCTGTGCACATAAGCTGGCCTCCTAGTCATCATGGGATAGTAAGGCTGAAATAACTGACTGAAGGAACAAGGATCTGTCACATTTTTTGGAATCATATATTTGCAGTTATAAAATAAATTCATACTTTAAAAGGTTCAGGTACCAAATAAAATAATATAGTCAAAATTTCTATTTCATTTTTTTTTTTTTAAAAAGTTTATTTGTAACAACTGTGAATATGTTATGGTTTCACAGTTTATTTAATAAATATATCAATGTAGTTTACATGATCTTTAGAAAAAAAAAATAATAACAAACATTGTAAACACCAGAACTGCTAATGTTTAATTTACTGGTTCTGGGGCAAAGAGACTGTCGCTGCAGGCTCATCAGTGTAAACAATTCCTTTTGTGAGAAAAAGCAGTGATATTGCTACCTAATGCCACCTCTAGTGGCTATCATTCAGACAGCCACTACAGGGGCTTTCTGGTTGCTTTACAAGGAGATTATGTACACTTTCCATAGCGATGTAGTAAAGGGAAATTATAGTGCCAGGAAACCAGTAGTTTTCCTGGCACTCTAGCCTTCCCCTCCCTTGCGCACCTGCCCACCCCACCTTCAGTCACATACCTCAGACTAGCGCCGATGTGTCTCAGCACTGTCTCTGGTCCACCTTTGCTATTTCCCTGGCCAACGTCAGACGGCAGGGGAGACCTAATATACATGCGCTGCAATGGCCATGGTCGCATTAGGATTTACCCATAGGAAAGCATTATACAGTGCTTTTCCATGGGATTTTGGGTGACGTTGGACGTCCTCATGCATAGCGTGAGGAGGTCCAGCGTCCGTTATGCGACCCAAAGTCATCTAACAGGCCAGAAGTCCCTTTAGTGACTGGCTGGTAGACAGCCACTAGATGTGGAGTTAGCCCTTCAAGCTAATTATTGCATTTTCTTAAAATAATAGCTTTTCAGGGTTAAATTTGCCTATAGTGTCCCTTAAGGTCAATGCATCTCTATGAGATGATGATGATTGCCACACATACACACTAGCTCCCAATTTGTCTATTTGGTTAAGCATTGGTTTTGACTGACATAGACAGTCAGTAAATATCTGAACTGGGGAGGAATGACTGAGACTGATGCCTGTGGAAGAATGGTAATTACATCTATTTTTTATTAGTACTTGGGAGAGCTGAATCTAAATATCCACTACATTACTCTAACATTTTAAATACATGTTTATATTCCTATTAGAGCATTCCTTTAAAGAATAAGCATTGAGATGTCAGTTGGAGCTTGCAAGTATACAAAATACGTTCACAATTTGATATTCGTAGATACAGGATAATCCATAGCATCACACTTCATAAACCTGTCTAGACACTGAATTCTTATAGGGACTTTTTATAAACCAAGTCAATGTCTGCTTTATTAAGTGATTTTTGGGCACAAACGGCCTCTTTTTTTATATTTGGACAATCTCAGAAGAGACTTAGTGGCTACTGCAGGGAGACTGGATTACAGGTGAGTTTACATATAAAAAAATGGTACTAGAGTTGAAGGCTTTCATATCTTTCAGATTTTTTAATCGATTTATGTTCATGCATCTGTCCTTCTGGCTTTTTCTGCTATATAGTGAGTAAATGAGTTGTGTTAGAACATTTTCAATAGGAAGCAATATACATTTTGCCATGAATACCGTACATCATGTAAGGTTTGTGAAGTAACATCTTTCTTTTGTTCCTAGAGTTACGTAGGTAAATTATTTAGGTAAATCCTCCAATATCATTTGAGTTCTGGCACCTCATCTATCTTGAAGAAAGGCTTAATAGGAATGTTACTTATGCATTTCATTTATTTCATATTCTAATCTTATCATATTTCCAAGTAGTAATTACAATAATTTAAAATAAAGTTCCATTAACTTCTGTATTTTTTTTTTTTTTTAATGGTATTTAAAGTGAAGTTGACTTCAACTTTTAATTACCGGTTTGTTCTCAACCCTGAGAGGAAGTAATTGACCGTGATGCATACTGAAGCATATGCCAATAGTGGATTTGTAATTATCTGACTTGGGTGAAAGAGAGCAGATGCTTGTGGCAGTTCATTAGAACAAACTAAGGCTTCTTTTACATAATATTTTATCTCAGTAAATGTATAGGAATCTTCGATATCTGTTTTTGATGTATCTGGCACATACATTTAAATTACCCAAACATTGAAAGAGGATGACACATAGAAGTTATGTATACACATAGTTAAGTCCCTACTGTATATTTAAACAGTGTTTTGCAGTCGTAGGACTACAGGTCTTGATTTTGAACTACATTTTATTACATGAAATTTTTAAAACAAATATTCTACCAGCGCTGTATTTTATAATGATTGTAGCTGAAAAGGGTAATTTCAGATCTGAATAGTATGGTCTGGTGGTCATTAATATTGTAGCATACAAAATATGACAGCATATTACAAGAGCGGGTATCTGCATGAGGATGCAGTGAGAGATCAGTTATTCTTGTGACACCTATTAGGATGCCTTTATTTTACCAATGTCTGTACCATGGGGAGAAATTAGGAACCTTGTTAGCTTATGCAAAAAGAAATGCTGCCCTGCTGCACAGTACCATTTGCATCAGTTACCAGTGCCTGGAATGTTAACAAGGTAAGCTATTTATTGGATAAATTGGATATGTGACAGCTATCCCGGCAATGTATTCTTACTATTTAATATTTTTTTTTTTTCACATATTTTTGAGGTGCTACAGTTTGCAGATTGTTTAAAACTTAACAACATAGAATGTCTAAATAAAGGTTTTGGTTAGAGTAACCATTATGAGCTGATCCGCTCCCAGCATCCCATTTAAAAAAAAAAAAACAAACAAAAAAAACCTAAACACTAAAATGTGCCATGGCCAAGTTGTCCCTGAAGCCTAATCCTCCTTGCTGAAGGGAGATGAGGATGGGGTGCATGCTGCCATTGGCTTTCTGGCTCCAGTATGATAGAAACATAGAATGTGATGGCAGATAAGAACCATTCGGCCCATCTAGTCTGCCCAATTTTCCAAATACTCTCATTAGTCCCTGACCTTATAGCTAGGATAGCCTTATGCCTATCCCACACATGCTTAAACTCCTTCACGGTGTTAACCTCTACCATACCTGTGCGTGCAGGCATCAGCGGACAATTTTGCACAGAACTAACATTAAAAAGTTCCGGGCTGGCTAATAAGGGCTGCTGAGGGTAGAGGTACACTTCTAACAGATCCGTATGTTCAGTGCTTTAAGATGACAAACTGAATATACAGACACCAGGCATCATGATCACTTCAAATCAGTCATGGGTCTTGGAGTATCCCTTTAATCGACATTAAAGTGGTTCTGTCACCTTCAGGGCTCTTTGCATATTTTCCAATGCTCGCAGTGCAGTGGCTGTGGGGTGCAGGGAAAGGGAAGGTTTTGCAGTTGCCATCTTTTTCCAAGGGATTAGTTTCATTTGCCAGGAGCCAACTTCCATGCTAATGTCTATGGAGGATACTTTGGGAGCCTCACAGCACCGGTCTCTGCCCTGCTGTCACACCTAGCTAGCCAATATCATCAGTGTTGATCTCAGTGAAGCCAATGCTTACCCACAGCTACGTCAAATTAAGCTTTTGATTGATTAACTGAGTCTGACTTGGTCATTGTAGTGGAAATGCCTCTAGTAGCTGTCAGAGATGATGTGATTTGAGTGCCTCTTGTGTCAATTTAACTGAACAGCGAGATGTGGGTAACAGTGAGTAAGCTAAACACTTAAAATTTAAAACAAGCTCATGACATTTTAAATCTAGTAGTAACAGTTGTCACCTATACCCTCAGTATAATCATACAGTTCGAATCAGTAGTCTTCATATTACTTATGCAGTCCCTGTTTTCGTCTCATTGTCTACTATTAATTTATTTCCTAGAAATCTGGAAATTTTCAGCCTTCTGCATCTGGTCAGAATGTTTTATTGTCACTAGTTGGAAGCATCTATACTGCAGTGGAAACCTTGGGGAAGGAGCTTTTCTTGTATTTCGGAACAAAATCATTACGGTAGGACCTATTCTGTGTACATTTTGCTATTTATTTGTAGTTTGAACATTGGCACCTCATTGCCATACAATGCTATACAATGCTATTAAACGATGACCAAAAGGTAACTATAACAAAATGTAAGCCCCAGTTCCAAGAACCTGTTGATCTGCAGACTTATCGACTATTTTACGAGATGGGTTCAAGAGAGCCGTCATAAAATCAAAGTGCTTTTACATCACACACTTAATTAGTACTTTAAATAAATGATATTGAATGTTCTAATCAACTTTTGAATGCCAACACACTAACCCATGCCTTGGTTTGATGTCTTATCCCTGGGTCACCAAACATTTGTCAAAACTGCTTGACAATATTGCCCTTTAACACCCCATATGATGTGAATTAATTTCCCTTGATGCTCAGCCTAACACATGCCTGTCAGAATATTATTGTAAATGTAGTTCTTGACAGCTTCACTGCCAATATATAACCATTGCTGTAGTATGAAATTCTTATATAAAAACCTGGTACAGACAACCTCTTAGTAGTCTAGTCACATGGACCTAAATCTCAACCTATACTTTCTAGTAGTTTTTTATATCCACTTGTTGCTGAGCATTATGGTATAGCTGTCCCATTCACATCATTTCAGGATGTACGTTAACTTATAAAAAATGATTCCTGCTTTATTTACTGCAGGGCTGTCACGTCAAAGATACGCAACCAATAGTAAACTAAAAGGTATATTTGGGCAATGCTTTTTAAAAATTTTTTTATTAGCTATCCATTTTTTATTTTCAAATTTGTTATGTCAGGTTGTTCTGGTACAGCCAGTACCTACCACAGGAATGCATTTAACTCCCACTATGTTGTATGCACTGGCACATGCTCCTTTGCAGCTCTATGGAATTAATGCCTCACAATGCTGCACTATTTCTTATATCTTTTTAATTGTATAAATGTTAATACTATGTCTATATGATACATAAAAATTGTATACTTCCAGCATGAAATGTCTCTCTGACATTTTAATTGTTTAATTGTGTATTACGGATGCTGTTGCCAAGTGTTTCTTTCAGTCATTTCAAATCAAAACAAACAGAACTCTATAAGACTATCGACAGATACACAATCTCTTAAATTACCTTGTATTAATATATAAATATTTGCAATGATAGATAATTTAATTCTAAATAATTTAGAGTGGTATCAACACACAACACTTCATTGTTATTGAATGCCCTTTTTGGTAAAACATTTATCATACTATGATAATTTCTGTATGGAAAAAGTATTTTCAGAAATTCTTACAGCTTACATTGAGCAGACATTATTTTGTTTGTAATACAAATGGCACGAAAGCAAAAAGCAACTTAAATTGTGGAATTATATGGGCATTTATTTTACTTACCAATTTTTTTTTAACATTTAAGATAATATTCATTGCTATGGTCATAAAATTGCCATTGACGCTAATTGGGTTCATTTTGGTATTATCCACATTCTGATATGCCTCTTACCAGATAACACCACTTATTACTTGAATTGTGCGAATAATGTGAAAAAGCAAGGCTTTATGGGGGAAGTCCAGTATAATACAGTTGTCTTGATAAAGGTTTCACAAATAAACCAAAATACTAGCCAGTGCGGTATGGCAAATCAAGCTTGATTTATTTATTTGAAAGATCATAAGTGCTTCATCATTTATTTATTGTTCATCTGCTGGCCTTCAGTGGATCTGCACCAGGGAGTTTATTCATTCTTATCATGAATGACACTCATCCATTATTAATTCATTCATTTTCTTTCTATCTCCATGTATATAGAAGGAAAAGCTGAATAATACAAGTTATATCAGTTGTCATGAACTACTACATGCCGGACAGTTCCTCACTGATAAAGAGTACAATTTAATTTTAAATATACATAGGTATATATACACTTTGTTTAATAAAATAAAACACAATGCCGGGAGTGTCCTATTTGGAAAATTATTACATAATTGTAAAATGTAGGTGAAAATGTGTGTCTAATGGGAGCATTTGTCAGTTGCCTGCTCTCCTTGGACTGGAGAAACACACTGTATTGTTACTAATTGTAATATTATGACTGACACACTAGATTCTTCCAAAGTGTCTAATACACATTTCAACAAGTTAGATTGTTTTGAATACGATATCTCACAAAGTTCTCTGTTGACCTATCTTGTTAATTCTCTCTCCTTTTGCAATTTGCAGTGTTATTTATTCTTATAGTATGTCACGCAGTAATTCTAATATTGCCGTTCCTCATTTTAGAGTACACTTTGGCATGAATGGGTCGATGCGGATTAATCCAGAAGAAAGAAATGACAAAAGTGGAGGAGAGGCAGTTCTGAAAGTGAAGCTCTCGAAGGACCTGATTTGTTTCTATGACTCCACAGTTGATATTCGGTAAAATGTTTTGAAACTTCTTTATACTTATTATTGCTAGTCTGAAATGTCTGTGTATATGTATATGTGTGTGTGTGTGTATATATATATATATATATATATATGTATGTGTGTGTGTATATATTCTCTCTCTCTCTCTCTCTCCCTCTCTCCCTCTCTCCCTCTCTCTCCCTCTCTCCCCCTCTCTCTCTTTCTCCCCACAAACTGCAGCAGATTAGCATTTAGCCAGAGGAGTATTTGAAGAGTATAAGTATGTGTTTGGTGCAGTGTATAGGTTATATATGGTTTTATATATATATTTTTCCAATATTTTTTTGTTTTTGTTTCCTTTTAATTTCCTTTTTTTGGTTTTTTTTTAAGGTAATTTAGTTCTGTTGCATGAGCTTTAATAATGCGTGTTTTTACTCCAACAGCAGTAATGTAGTAGTTTAAAAAATGGAATGCAGCATTTGTGACAGAAACCGTGTATCAGACTGATGTAATGAGACTGACACTGCCTCATTCACAGTGACCATCACTAGGCAGTGGAATGAGGCTTAGGCAGCTGTGTCTCCTATAAATTGTTAAAATAGTCTTTTATTTATTATGCAATATCTGCTATAGCAACAGCATGTTAAATATTATTATTATTTTCTTCTAATTATTATTTTATTTTCCATTCAGAAATGCAGATGACTGTAAAGAAAAAGTCAGGTTATTTGGGGATTTGGATGTCTGCTCTTCCAAATTCAGTTTTTCTAGAGTGGAATGTGAAGTTAAGAAACAAAGAAATCGTATGCTTTGTGATATCCTTCTTGATCAAGCTGTGCTACCTGGAGTTGGCAATATTATAAAAAATGAAGCTCTCTTTGATAGTGGCCTCCATCCTGCAATACTGGTATGTTTATACCACTCCTGTATTTAACCCCTTAAGGACCAAACTTCTGGAGTAAAAGGGAATCATGACATGTCACACATGTCATGTGTCCTTAAGGGGTTAAAGGAAATCTCAATATCCAATAATTATTTTAATTTTTTATGACTTGTTGCAAAAATTATTATAGTGGCTCTTTACAACACACGCACACACACTATGAATTTTCATAAAGATAAAATATACACACTGTGTATGGAATCACACTGAAATTCCAATGCAGTTTTTTTTTTTTTTTTCTCTGATCTCTTCACCCTTGAAGTGCAGAAGTCAAAAACCAGAACTGATTTTTTTTTTTTTTTTCTTAATCACAGAGTTAGAGACTTCGGAAACTATTGTCACCAAAATAACTTTAGCCTAATTAAGCAGATTTGGTGTATAGATCATACCCTTGCAGTCTCACTGCTAGATTTTCTGCCAGCGATAGTCACACCTCCCCTGGCTTCATTAAGCTAAAGTTGTTTGGTGACTATATTGTCCTTCTAATAGGAAACAAAAATTGTACTTATTTAGGAAACATTTTAAAAAGACTACAGTGACAATAGTCTGAGTAAGATGACGTGGTTTTGGTGACATTTTAAAATTCATTACACAAATCTAGCTATTATAGAAAGGTAACCATTAATTGAACTTACAAAAATGAGTAAATGGATGTAAATTGGCAATATTTGATTAAGCTATCATTTTCTTCTTTTAGGCAGGTCATCTAACAGATGGACAAGTATCTCACCTGGTGAAAATGACTCGCGATTTCACTCTTCTGTTTTATAAGGTCAAGTAGATGAAGTTAGAAAACCAGGAGCATTTTGTTACAAACTAAATGAATTGAAACAATCACTTCTCTGGAAATGACTCTTTTACATAGAACAACAAAAATCACCAGTTTTCTTAAATTGATATTAAAGATTATCAAATGACTTCATATTCCAGTTTAGTCAAGGAAAAGCTAGGGCAAGTATTCCAAATGAGAAGGAGAAATAGAAGCATTATTTAACTGCCCCTCTTCTCTATATGCTTTCTCTATGCTGACTGTCAGGTAAAAAGGGCAGAGTTTATAACAATGATTGATGGGTTGGTAAGGCCAGTTTCAACAAAGAGGTTTCCACATTTAACATTTTATTTTTACTCATCACAAATCAGTGTTTGTTATATAGGGGTAAGAAAACATAATCAGAAAATCTTGGGAAGTGACAGTTCGCCTTTAAAAGAAAATGACAAGGTTATTAACATTTTAAACCATCATCCCCCCTTAAGTAATTATTTTAATTTAACATCTTTGCAGTGTCGAAAGACTGGTTCAGCTCTCTACAAACACTACAAAGTCTACAAAAAACCAAACTGTGGCCAGTGTGCAACAAAGATCACAGTGTGCCGCCTGGGAGAGAACAATAGAATGACCTACTTTTGTCCGAAATGTCAAAAGGATAAACCTGAACATGTTGATGTAAGGTACGGAATGACACCGTAGTGATGTGGCTCCTATGCTTATCGGTACTGTAAATTGCATCTTTTTTTTTGGAATAGAAATGCTATCCCTTTTATAAACTGACATGATTGCAAATCTCTGCAAGAAACATTAGGTTGGACCGGGAGATTTTCAGTACTGATGATCTCCCAGCGGGTGGAATGTAGCCATGATGAAGGACCGTCTCGCCACTGGATTTTTAGGTAGACTACTATTATAATGCCCAACAATCCACTCTTCTAAACAAATGTATTTGTACCATTGGAGTGTTCTTTAAATGTGTGGTTAAAATTGATGGGACAGGGTATTAGTTCTGTACATGAACTACAGATATTGTGGTCAATAATGTGAGAGTTGCAAACACTCGCTATATCTGCTACTCTACAGCAAATCTAGTGAGTGAAGTAAATCTTTATAAAACCATATCCTTTATTCTCCACCTCTGCATGTTCTAAAATGTATTGCTCCTTTGATGCTTGTACAGGAGATCATACAGGAGTCCAGGCTATGCATTTCATATTAACCAATACTCTGTCATGAATATGATTTTATCTATTTTAGCTTACTCACTGTATGTGTTGAAGTAGAGTTGTGATGGTGATTGATTGTGTCTGTGTTTCCATGTGGAGGGAGGGATGGATGGACTGACTGACAAAGCACTTAAAGAAACCCAATTAGGTACCAAAACAGTTTAATGTAGTGGTTCTGAGGCAAACACTGTCTATCCAGGTTTAGCAGTGTAAACACTTATACCTAATGCCACCTTTAGTGGCTATCACTCAGACAACCCCTGGAGGGGCTTCCTGGTTGCTGTGTATGGAGAGCCTGAATGCTCCCTTTAAAGATGCATTAAATCAATGTATCTCTATTAGTAGATGCTGATTGGTGCAGTGTGTCAATTAGAGCATACACACACACACACTAGGCTTCCAATGACTTCCTATGGGGAAGCATTAGATTGGGTGAGGTCATCCGTAATGGTGATCTCAATTAAAGAAGGAGCAGAGGTCACAACGAAACCAGCATGCTGTGGGGATTAAAAATAACTATTTAACTTTAATTAAGGGTATATAAACTGTTATAATTTATAATAGTGTACCTTTAAAGATTTATGTACCGTATATCTTGTGCGCTTTGAGTTGTGTTCTAACATTTGCAACTTTGATTATGTTCTGAAGTTGTGTATCAGTGAGCATTACATATTAACCCTGCTTTAACTGAATTTTGCTACAGCTGTATTAGACAATTCAAGGTATATATTTTGCAATTGCACTATGACAACTTATGTGGCTAAAACAATTTTGAAAATGTTTGTGTTTCCGTGTGTATGTATTCCTGACACTTATGCACTGGAGTGGATGTTTGGCAGTATGTATTAAGGAAGTGTGTGTGTATACACCAGGGCTGTGTGTGGAATAAGTACCTGTACTACAAACAGCCCACATACATAGCTTTACAGACAACCCCTCTACAAATAAAGTTGTGTGTTTGAAATGGTTTTCTTTGCAAGGAAAACGTGGGGAAATTAAGTTAACCAGTTATATACAAAACTATACATACCTGCTGTTTACTCTTCGCCCTTCGAAGTGTGGCACTTTAGTAAATGCAAGAAAAGTTGCACACTGGCACATACTGTGTCTGGAACTCTACAATGCTTACTGTGTTCCTAAGCTCATGATAATAAATCCATGGCATCATGTGTTCTTTGGGATATGGGACTCTGGCCTCTTAGATTGATTTTTACTCTTTAGGTTGTGGCTGAAAAAAATGTGGCACTATTAGGCAGTTGATACAATGTGACTGCATGATCATTAGGTTAGTGTTTCTAGCACATTTCAAGAATATAGAGGAGGAGGAAACATTTATTTTGTGGGAAATTTTCTAAAAGCATTTAGGAGGTAGCATTTGGAGGGCAAAAAATACTGGTGGTGGTGGGAGATAGAGGAAGAATTAATGAGATGGAAATTCAGTTGTGAAGTAAGGGACATTTCAAACCCCTAAAGCTCTTTAACTTACTGAAAAGCTTTGTGTGACTTCTATTTTTTTCATTTTGCAAAAACTGCATATTTCAATAGAAATTGGCAGCTTTTATAAATGAACCCAGTTACACCGCCTTAGTTTTCAAGCAGACAACGGGTCCTGTTATTTCCTGGTTTCATAAGCTCAGTGGAACTACACTCAAGAGTGAGCAATTGCCCCGAGCACCTGCTTTGCAATTACTTCTCATTGAGCTGTGTTGTGAAGTCTGTGATTGTAGAGACACAGGAAGTCTGGGCAGGGTTAGAAGGGGAGGGATTACATAGGCTGCAAACAAGAGAACTGCAGGTTTCGCCAGCTGTTTTTAGAAATACCCCTAATGAAAAAATGCATAATTAAAGACCACTATAGTGCCAGGAAAACTTACTCGTTTTCCTGGCACTATAGTGCCTTGAGGGTGCACCCACCCTCAGGGTCCCCCTCCCGCCGGGCTGTAGGGGGAGGAAGGGGTTAAACTTACCTCTTTCTCCAGCGCCGGGCGGGGACTTTCCTCCTCCTCAGCGACATCATCGGCTGAATGCGCATGCACGGCAGGAGCCGCGCGCGCATTCAGCCAGTCCATAGTAAAGCATTCTCAATGCTTTCCTATGGACACTGGCGTCTTCTCACTGTGAAAATCACAGTGAGAAGCGCGGAAGCGCCGCTAGCAGCTGTCAGTGAGACAGCCACTAGATGCTGGATTAACCCATATGTAAACATAGCAGTTTCTCGGAAACTGCTATGTTTATTGAAAAAAGGGTTAGACCTAGCTGGACCTGGCACCCAGACCACTTCATTAAAGGACCACTATAGACACCCAGACCACTTCAGCTTAATGAGGTGGTCTGGGTGTCTGGTCCAGCTAGGTTTAACCCTTTTTTCTATAAACATAGCAGTTTCAGAGAAACTGCTATGTTTATAAATGGGTTAATCCAGCCTCTAGTGGCTGTCTTATTGACAGCCGCTAGAAGGCCTCCGCGCTTATCACTGTGATTTTCACAGTGAGAAGATGCCAGCGTCCATAGGAAAACATTGAGAATGCTTTCCTATGGACTGGCTGAATGCGCGCGTGGCTCCTGCCGCGCATGCGCATTGAGCCGGAGAGGAGGAGGAGAGCTCCCCGCCCAGCGCTGGAGAAAGAGGTAAGTTTAACCCCTTCCTCCCCCCAGAGGCCAGTGGGAGGGGGACCCTGAGGGTGGGGGCACCCTCAGGGCACTATAGTGCCAGGAAAACTAGGATATATTCCTGGCACTATAGTGGTCCTTTAAGCTAGAGTGGTCTGGGTGCCTATAGTGGTCCTTTAAATGCATGCAGGTTTTCATTTGGGGTATATCTACTAAACTGCAATTTGTATTTATTTTGTATTTGGGCAGTAGAGTGTCCCTTTAAGTGAAATAATAGGAACAAGGTGTAATATACACTCATAGGAGATGTGAGACAAGGAGTTTGCCATGTAAGAGGAATGGATGAAGATGAAAGAGAAAGGAGAACTTGGAGTGGATAGTAAGCAGGTATTGTAATAAAGATGGTACATGTAAATTGGGACACAGCACTGCAAAGTAACTAGATGATATACTAAAGGTGAAATGGTGTCGTAGCACTTTGTGGCAAAGTGGGCTTACATCCATTCACTATTGCTGCTGAGCATTTATTTTATTTCTGTGATTCAGTATGGACAGCACTGAGACTACAATCAAATGTGTTTATCAGCAAAATTGTAACATTTATTTTCCAACAATTTGGCTGGCAAATGCAAAAATACAATAAAAATATATTTTGTAAACCATGCAATTTCTCCATGATGGGCACCTTAGATGTTCTCTTAAGCTTTACTTACCACATGGCATTGAACCATTCTACCATACAGAAATATAAGCCACTTTTAAAGACAAACAACACAACTGCTTATTGTTTCTCTTTCTGGCTATTTGTTTTGCAGGATCAATACTGCAACTACACTTTAGTAGAAACTTGTTGTGTTAGTATTTTTCAGGCTCGTTAATTAGATAATAAATTGTGTCCCCTTATGTTTTAAAATGTCTTTTTATTTATTTATTTATTTATTTATTTTTCTTCAAAGTAAACTGCCAACAAGAAACAGTCTTATCGGGTGGACATACAGACAAGGTTCACAAGTAAATGAAGATGTGGCAAGAAGTGATGAAGAACACTGGGCGTGTGAAGTATGCACACTCATAAACAAGCCTTCAGACAAACAATGTGATGCTTGCCTAACTCCAAAACCACAGGGTAAAGTTTAACACTTCTGTCCTCTAAAGATGTGTGCGACAGACCAGATAATGCATGCAGTGACAGACCGTGCAATGACAAACCAACTCATACAAGCTAACCTAAATTTAAAATGACAATATTCTTAAACATTTTTATATTTACTTTAAACCACATTTAAAGCCAGCCTAAAATCTAGTAAAGAAAACATATACACGTGTGTGTGTGTGTGTGTGTGTAATTTCACGGTGTGGATATAGATGGATATATACAGTCATCGGAAAAAGAAAGTACACCCCCTTTGAATTCTATGGTATTACATATTGGGACATAATAACAATCATCTGTTCCTTAGCAGGTCTTAAAATGATGTAAATGCAACCTTAGATGAACAACACCACATGACATATTACACCATGTCATGATTTATTTAACAAAAATAAAGCCAAAATGGAGAAGCCAGGTGTGAAAAACTAGGTACACCTTATGATTCAATAGCTTGTAGATACAACTTTAACAGCAGTAACTTGAAGTAATTATTTGCTATACTTACTATAGTAGTGGCCTTTTTTTTTTTACTACAGGATAATGCATCCTGCCTCACTGCAAAACACGCTCAGGAATGGTATGGGGAACATGGAAAAGGCTTCCAATTCCCCAGATCCTAATCAGATTTTGTATCTGTGGTATGTGTTTGAACAACAAATCTGATGAATGGAGGCCCCACCTTGTAACTTGCAGGACTTAGATGTTCTGCTGCTAATCTCTTGGTGCCAGATACTACAGGGCACATTAAGAGGTCTTGTGGAGTTCATGCTTTGATGCATCAGAGCTGTATTGGCAGTACAAGGAGGCAGGTGGTTTTAATGTTGTGGCTAATCTGTGTAATTCAATGTTATTTCCATGGGGTATATGAGTTCTTCCTGTGGCAAACATTGCAGTAAACTTTTTGCTTTTTTTGTATTTTCTTTTACCCCCAGTTTCTTCAAGTATGTCCAGTAATGAAATAGAAGATACTAACACTTGCCTTATTAAATATCCCTGTAATAATTTTGGAAAGCCACTCACACAAATGAAATTAAACAGAAGAGCAGCATTTGGGAATACAACTTTGGTCATGACTGATTTTAGTACAAAAGGAATCTTGTATGACGAGAACAATGATCAATTTCATAGCAAGAACTCCCCTTCAGAGACTTCAGTAAATAGTAATTATAACAGAGTACAAATCACATCAAGTAAGAGAGGCTACAGTGAAAATGAAGAGAGGACAAATGCTCTTAATTCAGTGAATGGTGCTCTGAGTGATAACTGCCTCAATCCTCTTAATCATCCACGGAAGAAAATGAAGACGGAACACACAACACCAAAACATTATTCAGAGAACAGCTCTCCAATAAGGTATTCTTGATTTTTATTTCATTTTTTAGCATTGGAAAATAAACCTATATATCTTTATTTTCGTTTTCGTCTTGTTTCAATTAGGGGTACAGAATGAGGGGGAAAAAAGGGGGGTACAGTTTGACTTTGACATATCGATGAAGTACAGTTTCAGAGGCTTAATGTGTGGTAAGCTTATGATCTGTGGTATTCTTCTGTAATACTGCGGTCATACTTGTGAAATCTCGTACTATGCATTTGGTTGGGTGCACCTTATACATGGTGGTTGTGGTGAATTAACTCTTGGTAGGTGGGCCAATGTTTTGTTCTAATAGTGTTTGTGATGGTGTTGGAGTTGTGGACTGATGGGTGTTATTTGGGAGTTAGGGGAATGAGGGGGGGGAAGCGGTGCAGTATTATGTGGTGGGCACCCATTAGCATCTTTGTCGTAGGCCTACCTATGATAGGAGTTGTGCAGAGTTTTTAGTGGGTTATCATTTTTGTCATGATAAGTTGATTTTGGTGTCTCGTTCTGATTGTATTGTTGTTCACTTGAACGTGTCTCTTGCTAGTAATGAGTGCATTGGTTGAGTTTGCTGTGTGAGGTTGTATGTAATGTCTGGTGTGTGTTGGGTGTAGGGGGGAGAGGGAGGGATACGGGGGTTGGGGGCTGGTAGGCATGAGGGGGGTGGGTGTTGGTTGGGGAGTGGGGGAAGGCGGAGAGGTTGATGAATTTGGAAGTAACGTTAGGGTTTTATCCTGGGAGCAACCGCACGCCCCTGGTCCTCCTCCTAAGTTCCGGTTGGTGCCCTAGGATCCAAGGATCTAAGATTTTGTGGTAGTTTATGGTTGTCATGGACCAGAGCCGAGAGTTTGTCCATCTCCATGGTTTTTTGAAGCATTATTGTTAGCGAGGGTGTGGTTTGGTTTCCCCATTGTTCTGCGTTAAACATTTTTGTAAGTCATGTTTGCAGTTCTGTCTCAGCATAACAACTCACTGTAGTGGTTATGGCGCCAGTAGTCCCTTGGAGCCCTTCCACTGTAAGTAGGCAAAGCTGTTTTGACTGGTTTGACATTTACCAGAGTCACCTAGGAGCATGTGATATTGCCCCCTCTTCAGATATACCTAAAACACAAGTTCCTCAAATTAGTTATATCAATTTTTTCCCTGTTTGGATGGCATTTATTGACTGAACATGTCAACTGATCCTCTCAGCCAATGTATTGTCAAAAGATGGGCAGATTTGATATCACTAATACAGAATTAGGAATTTATGTTCTTGAGATATTTGAAAAGAGGGCCAGTGTAGTAGTGTTAGTGCTTTTAAAGGGAGATATTCCCTGCATTACATGTAACAGCACGCAAAATGCAGAGATTTTGGAAGATATAGAGTTGCATGCAATAAATGTTTAAAATAGGAGTGTCTTTACTCCTTCTCCCTACTTCTGCAACATTACATTTGTCTTATCAGAAGGGCAAATGATTACTAATGTGTAAACATATTAAGCTGGGGTTCATCAGGAGAGATCATCATTGTCGAGTTGTGTTTGGAAAAAGATTAGCATTTCAATTTGGAAGACATTGGTTTCTTGAAGTAGGAAGTGGAGGATAGTCTGTACAGGCTGAAACAGAGGCAGGGTTACTTAAGATTAAACTAAGCATTATAACCAATGCAGGCTGCTGTAGTGGCCATGGTAACAGAATTCCTCTGTTTCTGTCTCCAGTTATAGGCCAAACTGTTTTGTAGTTTGACACAACCCAAGGGTCTACCTGTCTAAGGGTGTCATTTGATGCATTCAACAAATAATGTCCAAATACAAAGGAATTTTCTTCAGCTTTAGTTTTAACTTAAGTTGATGAAAGCATGCAAACATTTATTAAAGTAGGCCTGTTACACATATCTATCTATATAACCTATATAGGTTTCCCACAGCATTTGATAAATTATACAATATGTTATGTAGAATACATTGTTATTTTTTTTTCTATTACTGTTGCTCTAGAATTAATGATTGAAGAACATGACTCAAATTTATAATCTTGCTATGTATACATATCTATATAATATATATCCAATTCACTATTCAGGATATTAACCAAATCATATTAATATGTATATACTTTGATATCTCTATAACAAAATAAATATATGTATGTATATATATATATATATATATATATATATATATATATATATATATATATATATATATATATATATATATATTATACTTTGAACATTAAAGTTATTTTTGAGTTTGAACCACGGGGATGCAAAATAAAATTTTAAGAGAGTATGTAGCCAAATTGACATGTTTTGGTTATTTCATAAAAGCACCAAATTAAAAAAACACATTTGTGGCAGTAATTATTTATTCGGAGGAAAAGCACAACTTATCCTGAATTGAAGCATGGAGATAACACTAAATAACACCCAGGCATGCAAGTAACAATGACCCTTCTAGCTATTCCCTCAGAGCCCAGCTGTCATGTCTTTTTATTATATCTGCAGATCTATACATTTCGCTAGCACAATGAACAGAGGAAACATTTGCAAATAAAACAGGACTTTCATGTTTTGCATGGCAGACTTCCTTTCATAATTCTAAACCTTTATTTTCTTGGCTAATTAAGGGTTAAATGCCAAGCCAGAGGTATGTCTTACAAAATTACTACAATCACAGGACAAACACTATATGTTCCTGTTCCATCGATTTTTCAATTTTAACAATTCCTTTTTTTTCTTCTCATACATTTACAATTTGAGCCATTTGCTACTCAGGCAGAAATCCTTTTTTTGTAATCTCGCTAAAACATCTTTTAGTGATGGCACTGTCAAAACTGTACTTGTGGACACAGTCAGCAGTTTGTGATAATCCCTTTTCCTTACTAGATACCAATTTTGTAACTTGTCATTACAGTTCTCCGCGTGTTAACATGACAGGTGGTACTTCTGCTTTAAATGTAAACAGCCCTCATTGCAGCAAACACCAGCGTCCCTGTGCACTGCAGGTTGTGAGAAAGGATGGAGATAATAAGGGGAGACAATTTTATACTTGTTCTCTACCCAGAGAAAGTCGTTGTGAGCATTTTGAAGTAAGTATTTCCTTGCATTGTAAATATACTTTTAAAATTAAATCTGTTTCTATGGCCTTTCTTTATTCACTTAACTTGGATATTGTGGTGAATTGACAAGAGAATTGCATCTGTTTGGCTAAAATATCTGAGCTGGAAAAATGCGTTTGAGAAAGTTTCCAATTTTGCCATGTGCAATTCACTTGTCTGTTCTGCAGCAGGAATGTAGTCTTTTATTTACAAATATTAAGGCTGGTCATCCACAATACTTTAATAACTAAAAAATGTTCTTTATTTAACCCCCTACATTACCCTAATTTACTACACTGTAAATAGTATTAACTGTACAACTCAACCACACTACATCAAGCATGAATTTCATTGCCGCTCAGCCAATCAGGGGGCGCAAAAATAATTTGTCAGACTGACTGCCTTTCCTCCGCCCACAGGCAGCATGTGGCTAGGGTAGATAAGGGAACCGCAGGCACAGTACACTGGGAGGGAAAGCGCCATACCCCCCCTGCATAGGAGGCCAGGTTTCAGGTGACTACCTGAGGCGCTCAGTCTATCGGGCACCGCTGAAGACTGAGAGGCCCCCTGTCAGATGACCCCCCTCCCAGCTGTTTCTCAACTATCAATAGAGCAGAGCCGGTGCTTCCAACACTTCGGGCACCTGCTCTGTGAGAGAAACAGCTGCCTGCCAGAGCAGGAGGAGGTAGGTATGAATGGAAGTAGTAGCAGGGAGACATGGGTGGTAGAGATACAAATGCAAGGGGGTAGGGAGATATGAATTGAAGGATTAGGAAGATTTGGATGGAATGGGTAGGAGGGGAGAGATGTGGGGGCAGAGAGATGGAAGGGAGAGATGGGGGGGGGAAATATGGAAGGGAGGGAGAGATGGATGGATAGAAGGGGGGAAGAAGAGACATTGATGGAAAGGGGTAGAGGCGAGCGGCGCAGCCACACATTACTCTGTCTGGAGATTACAGAGGGACTATAGAGCGGCTGCCTGCCTGAGACTGCAAGTTTGCAGAGGGTCTGAGGGAGCGAGCACTATAGATAGAGGCTTTATTATGGTGAAGCTTTTGAGTGAAATATATATATATATATATATATATATATATATATATATATATATATATATACACACACATACACACACATACCCAGGATTACATATTGTTTGCATGAGAACGATACAAGTAATTTTAGTTTGTGTTGGTCTTGGTTGAACTTTTTTAATTTATTTTTATTTTTTTGTGCGCGACCCACATAAACTTAAGACTTTTTAATTTGGCCCGAGTTAGCCTTTGAGTTTATCATGCTTGCACTACAGTATGAACATTAAAGGAACTCTCAAAGCACCATAACAACTACATAGACAAAAATAAACAAATACTGTTATCAAATTTGTGCTGCTAAGCATTCACCCTGTACCTCAAATGAGAGTTACACATATGCCAAACAATGGAAAAAAATTAAGGCAGCACAACAAAATGCAAAAGTGTACAACTAGTGCTAAATACAGTTTTATTGGAAGGACCAAGAAGAGAGACATTTTGGGTTGCCCCTTCATCAATGCCAAAATTTCCAAGGACATTTTGGCATTGTTAAATGGGCAACCTGAAATGTCTGTCTCTCCTAGGTCTTTCCAATAAAACTGGATGTAGTACTGGCGGTGCACTTTTGCATCTTGTTGCACTGTCCTAATTTATTTTTTCAATGTTCATATAACTACACTCTAGTGGTTATGGTGTCAAGAGTCCTCGGATATGTGTTTTTATTAAAATATATATATATATATATATATATATATATCTCCTAATGAAATTCAGTCTTTAACCTCTTGTTGGCATTATTTTCCCAAGATAGAACATAGTTCACTGTTATGTCTCTCTCACATACGTTATTCTATAGAAGTGTTGTATATTATACATATTTTCTGAAGAGCTCTTTAACAAGATTGTGTAGAAACTACTTTTTGAAGCAGTTCTATTTCTGTATTGAATATGATCATGAATAACAGTAAAGTTGACAATTTATTATATGTAGATGTAGAAACAAACAAAGTTTACAGTTTGGGAATTTTGTATAACCTACATTAAATTTTGTTTTTTTACAGTGGGCAGATTTACAGTTTCCTTTATGTAACCACGCAAAACGCAGTATTATGAGGACAGTCCTAAAGCTTGGTCCAAATAATGGCAAGAACTTTTATGTATGTCCTTTAAGCAAGGATAAGCAGTGTGGATTCTTTGAATGGGCAAAAACTGAAACATAATACAGTAAAGCCAATCGTTTTATTTGGCCAGCTGAGCAGTATTTCTATAACAGAAACAAGCAATTGTATTTTTAATCTTCCCCCACTCAGTACTTGTCGGTATAACTAATGTATAACTGTCTTATAACGTTAGGGGAAAAAAAGTCTTATAATCCTTAACTGCTTCTTTTTTCTGTCATAAGTGTATTAAAAGAGATTAAATATCTCCCGTTCTAAGACTCATGTTGCTAGGGGCCATATTAAGGAGGCTCTGTTAGCATGCATCCAGTATTTAATGTTGGCATGCTGGTCCTTCGTACCTATTCGTTAATAATATGGGTGGTTAAAGAAATTATATAGATGCTAAAATTTCCTTGTGGCAGTGCTTTTCATTCTTGGCCCCATCACTGAGTCTAACGGATGAAATCCTCCACCGTTGGGTTTACAAGTTATGATGATTTTTCTCTTCACTCGTTGCCTACGATAGGGTGAGTAGTTAAGTGAAACTACTATATTCTCCTATAGTAGCCAACATGACTGGCAGGTAGCCTGTGCAATCATTACAGTACAGACTTTAATAAATCTATTACTTACATCTCGTTACACATAGGTATATCCAGGACAATGCAATATTTACTTTCAATTTTAGTGGCAGCTCCCTTTACCCGACTAAATGTTATTGAAGCTTCTACTGGGGCATGGAGTGCATATCTCTGACACTTTATGGATGCAGGCACACATTATGCTATGTGTGCTCCTACACATTCTGCTCTCTGTAAGTGTATCGGCATTTCTTTCATGATATTTGCTATAAATCAAAGAAATCATAACTATAGCTACATTTAATTAATTTAGCAATGGATTACAGGAAAAAACATGAGAAGTGACAATTTCAAACTAACAGAACTGCTTATAAATTTGTATCTGTCCAACATATATTTACATGTTCAATAGATATCTAGCAGCTTTTTTTTTTATGTTGTCATAAAATGTCAAAGTCTAATACGATCTGTAACAGGAAAAAAAAAATCTGTTCTTTTAATAATAAATATTTGCTTATCTATGATGTTATTGAATTACACATTGTTTATGCATACATACACAAATATGTAAACAGGGATTTGTTTCAAAGATGCACCTAACCAGCCACAGGGAACCACTTGCATGTTTGTATTACAGAGTAGGCATTTTGTGGGTCCGCTATACTATAATTGCAGATCTTGCCTTGGAAACCAGAGTGTTTGACGGTAGTCAACTTCAGTCTAGTGTGTGAGAGAATTTGGTGTTCACTATATAAACCGCTGTGGATACGTATTGTCACAACTTTAAATTGTCATGTTAAACAAGAATTCCTGTGATTGCGCAAAGAATAATGTGCTGCAGAATGCATACCTGTCTTATTTCTGTCTGCAATACATTACCCTGTGTTCTTTTGTTTGTATTAGAATAAAATGCGTAATGTGGATGGTGGAGGTACTGCTATTCTGTCCACACTTCTCTACAGCAATTGCTTCTTTATATGTAGTAAAATATCAAATGGCTTGGAATTTTTGTTCTATTAAACAGAATATGTATAGGACATCTTGATTTTAATAGGTCTTTTGATAATACTCATGCAGCCAATATTGCTTGTAATTGGACATAATAGTTGAAAGGACAAGTAATTGTTTTAAAAGGTACGACACAAAGTTGTTAATGGGATAAATTCAAAGGAAGTACAGCAGTGGGGACCTGTGCCGGGACTAATTTTATGTATAATGTTCATTAGTGATATTACAGATCTTTGCGTCATTTGGAAAAGGCATACATTCTCTTCAGATAATTGCAAAAGTCAATGTTCCAGAAGGGTAAATAAAATGTCTATTTAGGTAAATGAGAGAAACACATGAACATTGCAACTTCAATACATGCTAATAAGAGCATAATAATGCATTTGGGAAAGACAAAATACAGGATTAATGGCCCTTTGCATTAACAATAATGAGTCATTATTATTTTTTTTCACAGGCGTTAAGGTAGGGAAGACTTTTGAGAAACTCTGCCAGTAGTATACCAATAAGTTTAATAAGGGTTTTAAAAATGCTTTTATACTTTGATGCAACAATTTTATTATCAGGAACTAGACTTGTGCATCAAGTATTTTCTGATTTTAGGGGGATTTGTTTTTTCAAAGATATGAAAAAATCACTTGCTACATGGATGAAATTAGTCCTTGCCATTTGTTTTACCATTGTTTGTTTAGAAGGATACCTCCTTCTAAACAAATGAAACAAGCTCTCTCCTTGGAATTTTACTTTTAAAGGAAGCATCAGACCACTGAGCTGGGAACTGCTCTTCTTCCCCTATGCCAGGTGTAAGCAATACTGCACCCCTCTTTGCTAGCTTTGATCCTCTAGCCATTAGTGCTAACAGAGCTTGGGTGACAGCCTTGGTGATTGCAGAAACTAGTGAGGGACAGCCATCCACTTACTCATGGCAATGCTGGGAGGAAGAGGTTTCATAACTTCCTTGCAGTGATTACAAAGGAGGAGAGAAGAAGCAGCTCTTTCCCCCTACATGGAGGTCATCCTCCTGCTGCAAAATGCTTCTTGGCTAAAAGGTGTGCATGCAGTAGTAAGATTTTATGTGTCTGGAGTAGTGTGTGTATATGTTCCTGGTAGTGTGAATTGAGGCAATGGGACTAACCATACATGCGTGTCTGGAATGCATATTTGTGTGTGTCTGAACTTTTGGTATATTTACCATTGGACTGTAGTATCTGGGTTTGAAAAGCCTGCACACTATGAGTAGTATGTGTGATGGCCTAGAGAAGTTTACAAATAACTGCTGGGTGAGATGAGCCACTGCTCATGACATTCAGAACAGAGACCATTTGCCATTTTTCAGAACGTCACAGCTCATAGCAAAGGAGGTTGCAGGGATATATGCAAGAAAAACTGTTACTTCAAAGTTAGTTTCTACTTTTAACCATTATGAAAATTAAATTTCTATTGAAATATAAAACTTTAAAATATAGCTTGCAAATGCTAAGGGCAGAGGAAAAATGCAATGTTATAGCCCTGGGATGCTTAGCGCTGGCTTGTGTAACTAGGGTAAATTAAATATAAATACATTGCAGTATATTACATCAGGTTATAGAACCCAGCCCCAATTGTTACTGGATCTTCTATAAACAAAACTTGTAACTGCTCAAATACATACATTATACTTTATTTTAACACCATACAAAATAATGTAATTGTGGTCCCTAAAAAGCGGAGTTTGTCACTCCTGTACATTAGCATTTAATTAGAAGATCTTAATTATATCCATAGAAAGCCATAATCACTAAAGTTGGGGTAGATAGAGTTCAACAAATAACGACAATCTACTCTGACCCATTACTATAAGCAGTCCACCACTTCTTCTTGAGGGCGAGCGATTCCAGGTTTGAAAACTGTAAAATGAAACTGAGTAAAACCAGGGGCTTTACTGCAGGCAGCACCTAGAAAGAAATATGATGCATTAGAATAGTTAATATTTTTTTATGAGCAGAACAGTTGCCAAAGAGGTTCTCTCTCAAGTACATTTCTGTGCTTATGGAAAATATATTTACCAAAACAAGCTTCTTACCTGCGAATCAAACAACCCCTTCATCTCTGCCATGACCTTACAAGCATGTACCACATCTAGGACCATTAAAAAGCAACTCCAAAACTATTGATGTAACTTGTAAAAAGTGCATCTTAATAATGATTAAAGAGTAAAGAGTTTCTACAAGTCTAATCTCACATACACAACACTGTGGGAAGTAAAAGATCAAAGTATGAAATAAGCAGTCTAAGCTAATAAGTCTTATTGATTGGTAAATTGTACTCTCTGCTGAACTAAACCACACTAATGAGATATGCTGCACAATGACTGATCTCCGCTTGCTTTGAAGTTATGATAGCCAACTAAAGACATCTCCCATATATTCATGCAAACTAAAGCTAAATTTAAACTCTGTTCTATCATTATAGCGAGCAATTTGTAGAAGGGATTTCTGGACATATGTTAAGAGAAGTTGTTGAACATGAATTGCTTGCTGAACGTGACTTCAAATCATACCAAGCCTTACTTCCTTGGTAGGATGATTTCCGTCAATACACTAACACTGTACATATTTTCTAAATGGCAAGCCCTCAAGACTTTAGTAAAAGTTCTGTGATGTCATATATAATGTTTACACATTTCCTTTTTTTTCCTCCTAGAAGCAAGACTGTACATAGTAATTTCTAACAGTTTCTATGTTTATCATTACATGCCATTAAGGAGCACCCTGACCAAACAAAAGTAAAAAAAATATGGATGATTTGGATAAGGAGTACAGTACAAGATTACTCATTAGCCAGATGGATAATTTCTCAAGTATTTTCTTTTTCTTTTGACGCCTTTGTTGATCGATAATATAAGTACATTTTAGAGAATTGGAAACTGGACTAAAAATGTAAAACCAAAATACTCAAAAGTATCCAGTTATGTTTTTAAATTACCCAGTTTGTGTCTCTGTATATACCCAATCTACACAACCAAGGCAAGAAAAACATCTTAACCCCTTAAGGACGGAGCCAAATGTACACGTTGTGAACAAAACAAAATGTAAACAAAACCTGGCATTTGCGCTACATGTCTGTCCAACAGTAATTCACCTCTTTCATAGTAAATGCACCCACCCTTATTATATATCATTTTATTCAGGGGAAACAGGGCTTTCATTTAATATCAAATAGTTAGCTATGAAACATAATTTAATATGAAAAAAAAATGGGAGAAAATACGATTTTTTATTTTTTTTTTGTTCTACATGACATTTTAACGGTCAATGTCATAATACGGTTTGCTTTTACTGCAATAAAATACACATATTTGTATTCAGTAAAGTCTCACGTGTAAGACAGTACCCCCTATGTACAGGTTTTATGGCGTTTTGGGAAGTTACAGGGTCAAATATAGCACGTTACATTTGAAATTGAAATTCGCCAGATTGGTTACGTTGCCTTTGAGACTGTATAGTAGCCCAGGAATGAAATTTACACTCATAATGGCATACCATTTGCAATAGTAGACAACCCAAGGTATTGCAAATGGGGTATGTCCAGTCTTTTTTAGTAGCTATTTGGTCACAAACACTGGCCAAAGTTAGCGTTAGTATTTGTTTGTGTGTGAAAAATGCAAAAAACACAAATTTTGGCCAGTGTTTGTGACTAAGTGGCTACTAAAAAAGACTGGACATACCCTGTTTGCAATACCTTGGGTTGTCTACTATTGCAAATGGTTTGCCATCATAGGGGTAATTTTCATTCTTGGGCTACCATAGGGTCTCAAAGGCAACGTAACCAATCTGGCGAATTTTAATGTGAAAAAAATGAAACGCAAGCCTTATATTTGACGCTGTAACTTTGAAAACACCATAAAACCTGTACATGAGGGGTACTGTTGTACTCGGGAGACTTCGCTGAACACAAATATTTGTGTTTCAAAACAGTAAAAAGTATCACAGCAATAATATTGTCCGTGTAATGCTGTTTGTGCGTGAAAAATGCAAAAAACTTCACTTTTACTGGCGATATCATCGTTGTAATACATTTACTGTTTTGAAACACTAATATTTGTGTTCAGCGAAGTCTCCCGAGTAGAACAGTACCCCCCATGTACAGGTTTTATGGTGTCTTGGAAAGTTATAGAGTTAAATATAGTGCTAGCAAATTAAATTCCCTTTACTTTCGGCATGGGTTGTCAGGCAGGTCCTGCTAATTGTAATTAATTAAGATACCTAATTATGTAAAAATATTACATAAAAATATATATGTGTGTATATATATATATATATATATATATATATATATATATATATATATATATACACATACATACACACACACACGTGTGTGTATATATATATATTTTTTTTTATATATTTTTATTTATATATATATATATATATATATATATATATATATATATATATATATATATATATATATATATATATATATATATATATATATATATATATATATATATATATATATATATATATATAGTGATATATAATGACATATTATGTATATAGATATATATTTGCTTCCACGTATTTTGATATATATATTAATTTCATACAATACAGTTAGAACGTAAATAAAACACATTATTTATTTTAATTATTTTATTTTATTTTTTAACGATTTACATTTTTATTTTTTATATTATATATAAATATATATATATATAAAAATATATATATATATATATATATATATATATATATATATATATATATATATATATTTAATCAGTATCAGTCTACGTGCAATTTGATATATATATATGATCTAAGTATATATTATTTTTATTTTTTTTACACTATTTATTTATTTATTTTATTTTCAGCCAGCAGGGGGACCACCTGTCATTACAGGCAGTCCCCCTGCTGGCAATGCTGCAGCCAGCTACCCCCGGCCATGTGATTGTGGGGTCCTCGCAAGGACCCCACTCTCACACGGCCGGGGGGCTTCAAGGAGCCGGCGTGGGATCGCCGGCGACCGGGTAAGTACCGAAAGACCGGAGGGCGTACTATTACGCCTGGCGGCGTTTAGAGCCTCTTAGAATAGGGCGTAATAGTACGCCCTCCGGTCTTAAGGGGTTAATGGAGAATTATTTTCAATATTGTAATAAGTGGTTAACTATATACATGAAGTAATTTACAAAGTCCTTGTTTTGTATATTTCTTTAAATGGACACTCTAGTCACCAGAACAACTTTAGCTTAATGAAGCATTTTTTGGTGTATAGATCATGCCTCCGAAGTTTCACTGCTCAATTCGCTGCCGTTTAGAAATTAAATCACTTTTGTTTCTGTCCATGCAACCCTAGCCATTCCTCCATTGGTTGTCACTGACACAGTTTGCATGAACTCAAAATGGTTTCACTTTCAATCAGATTTAACTTACTCTAAAAGTTTTTATCTCCTGCTCTGTAAACTGAACTTTCGTTACATACAGGAGGCTCCTGCAGGGTCTAGCAAGCTATTAACAGAGCAGGAGATAATAAATTCAAACTTAAACAGAGTTTGCAATAAAGGAAGTGTAACCATAAGATGATTATTTACATGAAGTGTTTAGGAAGGCTGTGTAAATCACATGAAGGGAGATGTGACTAGGGCTGCATAAACAAAGTGATTTAACTCCTACATTGCACAGAATTGAGCAATGAGACTGCAGTGGCATGATCTATACACCAAAACTTCTCCATTAAACTTATGTTGTTTTATGGACTACAGTGTCCCTTTAATGTAGTTCTGGTGGCTATACCATGCTCCAGCAGGCTTTTTAATTTCCAAGAAAAGTCAGTGTTTACATTACAGCCTAGAACCAAGTCACTCAAATGGCCGCTAGAGGTGCCCTCTGGGTCAGTGCTGCCTTTCAGCGTCTACACGCTCTCCATGGAGACGCTGAACTTTCCCCATAGAGATGCATTGAATCAATACAGCTCTTTGAGGAGATGCAGATTGGCACAGCACAGCTTTTGCTGTGCATGCGCAATAGCCTCCCAATACTTTCCTATAGGAAAGCATTGGCTTGGTTGAGATCATCAATCTGATGTCCGCTAAGGAGGATGATTCGGGGTGGGGCCAGAAGGGAGGAGCCAGATGCAGCGCTGGAGAAAGGTGTGTAAATCACATTTATAACCCAAGGTAAGTGTGGCCAATCACCTAAACAGTGATTTTATAAGTACAGTGTCAGGAATACACATTTGTGTTGCTGACCTTATAGTGCCCTTTTAAGTTGGGTCTAGCTGGAAAATCCTAGAAACCGCTGTATATTAAATGGACACACTACAGATCATGCTAATGATTTTGGAGCAAAGGCAAAAAGTCGTACATTTACAGGATATTATATGACTTAAATTATGTTACAGTGCTGCACAAACCCATAAAACATGTTTTTTTTCCAAATTAGAAAACGTTAGTCCTGGCATTCAGCATACCATAGCTTCCGGTTATGTTGGTGCAGATGATAGCTCCAAAAAAATCTTTGGCATACTTCTGTATTCTAATAATGGCTTTTTGGCATGCTGCACTGGGATCTATTCCTATTCTCATGTATTCCACAGCTTGGTAGCTACAAAAAAAGAATATATTTGAGAATTAAAATATTTTTCAAAATATATTAACTAAGAAAGAAAAAAAAAAAAGGACATGGAATTACATTACCCCTCTTGTGTTAATTCAAAGAAGTGATTAAAGAGTTACTACAACTTTATTTTAAAATATGGGCCACTTGTACCTTGTCCACACTTTTCTTAGCCTGTTTGAGTGTCCTTTTCTCCTCACCATAATTAATTTGCATTTCCCCCCAGTTCCCACTAGCGTGTCCCTTTCCTCTCCCTTTAGACGTTTTGCTTGTCTCCTTACCTTCCCTTTAGCCCCTTTGCGTGTCCCTTCCACGACTGGCAAGACACTTACTCTGCCCAGCCCTGTTTAGTTCCTTTCCCCCCCCCTTAGCCCCACGTCTGTGTCCCTATTCTCCCCTTATTCCCATTTCTGTGTTTTTTTTATCTTAACCCCTTTTTTGTGTCCATTTTTCCTCCCCCCTTAGACCCTTTTGTGTGTCCCTTTCTCCCCTCTCTCTTAAGCCTGTTTTGTGTCCCTCTCTCCCATCCCTCCTTACCCCTTGTGTCCCTACCCCCTTCATATAAATTGTACCTATTTGTCATCTAATTGCAATCCCTCTTGTGAGTAAGAAAAAAAAAAAAAAAAATTGTGGTAAATGGGTTAGTAGTAAAACACACATTTTATCTTGTGTTTGTTTTTTAATAGCACTTTATCAAATACATATGAATTAATGAATGTCAAACTGACACAATACAGGATTCATCTCAGTTTGATTAAAATGCATTGCCTTACCTTGGCAAAAAGCGCATCATAGTATCCCCGTCGCCAGTGGCTGCAGCTGCTCCTGCTGCACTATCAGCATATGCTCCAGCTCCAATAATTGGCGAATCTCCTACACGTCTAAAATAGCTTGACATGTAAATTGCATGACACTTTATATAAAAAAATAATTAAAAAAAAAGTTCCCCAATAAAATATTCAAGTTATTACTGTGAGTGAAAATAGGATACATGTATATCAGTTTCATACTATATTGAATGGATTCAAGACTATATGCAGAAACGTGGACAGTGCTTTGGTTTAATTATAGTAAAATCATTTTTGCCCCCCCCCACTTGTTTACATTATGCTTTAGTTAGGCTTTTAATGGAGACATTCCAGACACTCGTATGCTAAAGTGATTTATGTGTGAGGAGTGTCCTTTTTCACTCTACAAAAAAAAAAAAAAAAAGATTTTTTTTATATATAGCGCCATCAGATTCCGTAGCGCTGTACAATATGATCTCAATAGAAATTGGTTATAAATTAACCTGGTTAGACCCTCTTTTTTCGAAACGTGGGGTTTTGTTGAATTGTCTGAATATGCAACATCAATAAAATGTCCTCTTTAAAAAAATGTGTATTGCTTTATCAATCTTATTGGTTACTTGATCCCCCAACAAACATTGCATGTGCAGATATTTTCTGGTAAATTAAAGTCTAAGCTAAATTTTTGGCCAGATTTTCCAATATACAAATAACCCATATCATATCCTGCTATCACATTCACAGAATAGTCAACAAGCCCATGGAGTATTAATTAAATTCCAATCATTCTGAGATATAGAAGTCTATACCTTTACTAAACTGTCAATCTTGTTCCAGGGATTGTTGCACAACTCCCCTTTATCTTTTTACTAGATTTGCAAATGTTCCCACCATAAATTGAAGTGCAAGTCAGTAGATTTAGCTATTTACACCCAGGGCTGCTTTAGTGTCTCACACTGGCAGATTTATTAACAGCTTCACAGACAGGTCATATGAGGTAAAAACTGCAAAGAAGCAGACACTGGTAATAATCCTACAAAAACAATTGCATTGACAGATTTCTTCAGCCAAATTGAGAGCAGTACTTATTCTAGTAAACGGAACAACCTAACCCTCCAGTAAAAACTTAGACTGAAATATCTACAAGATGGTACAACCTAGTACATGGATAGTTACTACATTTAAAGAGATAGTCATTTATCAGGTTCTGGTCTCATTATTCATACTGTATTTTGATCCACTTTCAAATCTCTTGTTTTGTTTAGAAAAAAATCTTCCCAGTTGAGATGTCAGTGTGGGAGCTGAGCTGCTGACATGACTCCATAACACAGTCAATCACTGTCCACTTATTATCTGTATAGTATTTCAAAGCCAACTTCACAGAACTAAGGGGTCTTTTATTCATTCAAGTTTTTTTGAAGTACTATACTATGACCTTTTTGTCCTCTTATTCTCCTCATATGAGAATTACTCTCCTCCAAACTATAATGTTATACTAGTGGCGCTCTGTATTGCATGGAAAGGATTTACACATTTTTAAATGCATATTTTGGTCTGATATTAAAGGACCACTCTAGGTACCCAGACCACATCAGCTTAATGAAGTGGTCTGGGTGCCAGGTCCAGCTAGGATTAACCCTTTTTTCTGTAAACATAACAGTTTCAGAGAAACTGCTATGTTTACCTATGGGTTAATCCAGCCTCTAGTGGCTGTCTTATTGACAGCCGCTAGAGGACTTCCGCGCTTCTCACTGTGAAAATCACAGTGAGAAGACGCCAACGTCCATAGGAAAGCATTATGAATGCTTTCCTATGGACTGGCTGAATGCGTCCGCGGCTCTTGCCGCGCATGCGCATTCAGCCGGAGAGGAGGAGGAGAGCTCCCCGCCCGGCGCTGGAGAAAGAGGTAAATTTAACCCCTTCCTCCCCCTTGAGCCCAGCGGGAGGGGGTCCCTGAGGGTGGGGACACCCTCAGGGCACTATAGTGCCAGGATAACAAGTATGTTTTCCTGGCACTATAGTGGTCCTTTAAGGGATTGGGTAGTTACCCTGTTTTCAGTGGCTGCCTGCACTATGTTGCATCGCAATCTCCATTCACCACCTCATTTGTGTTTGCACTAAGGGAAGTCGGGGCAGATAAGAGGACAGTGATTGGCTGTGGGGCGGAGTCATGTTATGAGCTCAGCTCACACTGATGTCTCACTGGCTGAGCACGTACAATGAAGTTGAGGACAATCAGGAAGACATTTTGTGAAAAGCGGAGTCATTGCAAAGAGGGTGTGGTTATGCTGCAGAAAGCTACAAAACTGGCCACAAGATCACTGGAAAATTTGGGTTCAAATAACCAAACTATAGCAAACCTGGATAATTTTTCTACTATTGCTGCCCTTAATTTTGCAATTATGTTTTTAATCCACTAAGTTTCGGTGTTTAGTGCAAGCTCTTATTTCTTTCCTCAGATTTTGCACACAGCAGTTCACCCTGTTTTGTCAAAGAAATTAAAAAGCATAAGTCAGTAAGATTTCCTGCTCCTAACTTCCATCAATTTACATTTGTTGCCTCTGATTTCCAACATGGAAGCCAACGTGCGGTGCCATTAGGCTAATCCTGCTGATGGCACCATCAATGCTTTTCACATTTTGCCCTGTAAATATTAGTTTTTTTCCCTACACATATTTTGCCCAACTATTATATACAAACTCCTTCCTCCGTGTTCCTTTTAAAATTACAATTAACAGTTCACATATGTGACTGATGGGTGGAATATGTGATATAGCTGCTGTAAGTGTAATGTTGCATATTGAGTGCAGCCCAGTGGTTCCCAAACTTTTTAGGTCTAAGGCACCCTTAATATTTCAGTATTTTTTTCAAGGCACCCCAAGTCAAAATTTCTAGGTTGAATATCTGCACAGCGCTGCAGGATTTACTGGCGCTATAGTGTAATGTACAGAAGGGGTGCTTGTATACATTTAATGTGTTTTAACACAGGGGTGTATCTGAATGTAATGTTCACTTTTAAATGTGGATATACATTTGTGTGAAGTATTTGTGTTTGAGTAAAGGGGTGTGTTTGTATATTATTTTTTTTAGATTGAATGCAGGGGTGTGTTTGTATGTTATATTTGTATTAGATTGCAGGAGTGTGCTTGTATGTTGTGCTGGTGTTTGACTGCTTGGATGTATGCACATACACTACCACAGGGGCAACCTTCGGCACTCCAGATGTTGTGGACTACATCCCCCATAATGCTCTTTCACCCACAATGCTGGCAAAGCATCATGGGAGGTGTAGTCCAAAACATCTGCAGTGCCAAAGGTTGCCTATGCCTGCACTACCACATACATACATACATACATACTTATACAGATATTTATGCACATTAACACGCAGATGCATATAAATACACCGAAACATACACACAAATTCATATAAACACATAGATACACACACAGACATTGATATGTGCCCACAACATGACACAGATATACACACACTGACATAAAAACAAACACCCTGACACACAAACGCACATACACAAATGTATGTGCACACACAGACACAGAAGCACACTGATATATAAACACACACACACAGACACACGCACACCCTGACACCCACACACAAACACACATAACTTAAATGGTAGTGAATTATGGATAACCACACACGAGAAGGATTTGGGAATTGTTATAGACAACAAATTAGGCAGCAATATGCAATGCCAATCTGCAGTTGTTAAGGCCAGTAAAGTTTTGTCATGTATAAATAGGGGCATATATTCTAGGGATGAAAATGTAATTTTACCTTTTTATAAATCGCTGGTAATACCACACGAATATGCTGTGCACTTTTGGGCACCTGTTCTAAAGAAGGATATCATGGCACTAGAAAAAGTGCAGAGATGAGCTATAAAATTGATAAAAGAAATGGAGCATTTTAGTTACGAAGAAAGGTTAAAAAATTTAAATATCTTTCGTTTGTAACGGTGCCTCAGAGGGGTTATAACATTATACATATATATTTGGGGCCAGTACAAATCATTATCTGGAAATCTATTCATAAACAGGGCTATACCTAGGACACAGTCACACATTTAGGCTGGAAGAAAGGAGAATTAATCTAAGGCAAAGAAAAGTTTTTCTCTACAGTAAGAGCAATAAGGATATGGAATTCTCTGCCTGAAGAGGTGGTTTAATCAGAGTCCATACCAATGTTTTAACAGCAATTGGATAAATACTTGCAAAAACATACAAGGATATAATTTCTAATTAGTCGAGTAATAGCTGTCTGATCCAAAGAGACATCTGACTGCTATTTTGGGGTCAAGAAGGACTTTTTTCCTAGTTTGTTACAAAATTGGATGTGCTCCAGACTGGGTTTTTTTGCCTTCTTTTGGATCAACAGCAAAAACATATATGAGAAAGGCTGAACTTGATGGACGCAAGTCTCTTTTCAGCTATGTAACTATGTAAGATGCATCCACACACATATAAAAAAAAAATCACTTGTGTGAGTGTGTGTATCTCCAGCCACACTCCTGTAAGCTTACCTTTTGTGCCAGGAGGGTGGCTTGGAGTCCTGCTGCTGGTGGGAGTGAGGGGTCTGGAGCTCTTCGTGCTCCTCTCCCCTCACGCGGCAGCTGCCTCCTCTCAGTCCTGAGCTATCTCCCTGCATGACACTGGGAGGAAGTGACAGGCTGTCACTTCCTCCCAGCCGTCCGACATTACATGGGCCCCTGTTAAGCAGTAATGTTTGCCCGGTGCTGTAGCACAGTTTGGGAACCGCTGGTGTAGCCATTTGAGTGAATGGAAGTTCTTCTAATGTATACATGCTGCATTTGGGCATGGGTTAATTTAGATAACTCAGGTACACTAAAAATGATCCAAATAATAATCCAAATAAATATTCCTGGTCTCAATTAACTAAGTCCACAATCAGTTAAAGGAGCACTATAGGGTCAGGAACACAAACGTATTCTTGACCCTGTTATGTTAAAACCACCATTTAGCCCCCATGGCCTCCCTAACTATAGTAAAATCTTACTTGTATTCAAGTCTGAAGCTGCTGCATCTGCCTGTGAACTGTCTCTGTCTGCTGACATCATCAGAAGTGGTGGTCTGAGTCAATCACAATGTTTATACATAGGATTGGCTGAGACTGTCAAGGAGGAAGATCAGGGGCAGAGCCAGTACAAGTCAAACACAGCCCTGACCAATCAGCGTCTCCTCGTAGAGATGAATTAAATCAATGCTTCTCTATGTGGAAGTTCCATGTCTGCATACAAAGGGTGGAAACACTGAATGGCAGTACTGCTGCACACTGTGCAGCACCACCCCAGGAAGCACCTTTAGCAGCCATCTGAGGAGTGGCCAGTGGAGTTAATAGGCTGTAATGTAAACACTGCATTTTGTCTGAAAAGACAGTGTTTATAGCAAAATGCCTGAAGGGAATGGTTTTACTCACCAGAACACATACAATAAGCTGTAGTTGTTCTGGTGACTATAGTGTCCCTATAACAGCAAAGCAAAAATAAAACTACACCACAAACATTCATACCAGTACGGGTGGTATTTTGACTTCAGTTTTTCTCCAAGAGCATTCGAGGTAAAATCTGCAACAGTAATGTGCTCAGTGAGAGATCATATCATGTGACCCTTGTGTTTGACACAGAACAGGAGTATGTTTGCACCATAAGCACTACAGCAAATTGTAATGATTATGTTTTTCTGAGAGACCCTTTAATGAAAGCCATACACTACAAACAGAAGGAAAAAGAAGGCACATCCCTGCCTTAGTAAGGAACAGGAACCACATTTTAGTATGGGTTACTAAAATGTCCATTACAAATGCTGGTGGAATGACCCACATGTATCATAAATGTTAAAGGAATATTCCAAACACCAGAACACTACAGGGAGTGCCCTGGCTTCTCCCCTTTCCATTTTAGTATTCAAACCATTTTATTCAGATGCTGAATTCCTCTGCATCATTTACCAAATCCAGAAGCTCATACATAGGAGTTTCTTTTAGCTCTCCTTAACCAAGCCCTGATTGGCTGAGAGTGTCAGCTGATCACTTTCAACCAATGACTCAAGCCCTGCACTGCCATGCTTAGCCCACACAGATGAGGCATAGGGATGAAGGGATAGATCTACGTAATCCTGGAACCACAACAACTACAGCACACTGTGGTATGGGTGCTTGAAATGTGTTCCTTTAATGCATGTTGGCTGGAAGAAAGTTATCGCCCATCAAAATCTGTAAAAGTGACATTAGGAATAACGTAAATTAACTAACCCAGGTATTTTGTGAGTTGCACCATTTGTAGATGTTCCTGCAGCAAGATTTCCAGCTTTATCAATTGCAATCATCCCTATCAACACATTAAAAAAACAAAATCATTGGCATTACTTGATTCAACTTTTAACTCATTTAAACACTGAACAAACCTTTATGAGAGACAAGTTAGCAAAGTGTGTATTGTCTATGTAAGTTCAATAAAACTGAGAAACCTTCTCACCGATTGTATCATGGTGATGCACGTTGACATCCTTCTGAATAACAGCCTGTTTTCCAACTTGTAATCCTCTCACTGGCTTATATGGTCCACAAGATTGCAAAGGGTCTGGAATTACATTCTGCAAAGTAAAATTATGATTAATGCATACTGTGGTAAGATGACATTTAAATACATATTTGATGTGTTTCTGGGCATTTTATAATCAAACCAACTTGTGGTTCCAGGAGTAAAAATAACAAAACAAATCGTGAAAACCCTGCAATAACATCCTTCACCACTATTGTTCCTCACAGAATCAGATCAATCTTAAAAGTAAAAGACATAAATCATGAAACAATAAAGCCAAAATTTTGTAATGTGAACACAAATATGTTGAAGAATTACAAATGAAATCTAATGAAAATGCCATCATAAACACAGCACATTTAATATATCTACAGATGATTATTCCAAGAAAATATAGAAAAAGCAATCTCTGCATTTAAAAGGAACACTAGGCACAATAACTTCTTCTAAATTAGGGTTGTCATGGTGCTAGGAGGCCTCCAGACGCACTCTTGCCTCAAGGGGTTAAATCTCAACCTTTTTCCAAGTCAGTTTTGTAAAGGGGGAGTCTCAGCCAAACAACAGCGCTCCTACCGGCAGCACTCCACCCATCACGAAACTGAAATTTCAGAAGCCAGGTGCCACCTGGGGGGGAATTGAGATTAGCGATAGAGGGTTTGGGGTTTAAATCCCCTGAGATAAGAGTGCGCCCGGGTCCTGATGGCACCATACCAAATTAATTTACATTAAGTTGTTATGGTGCCTAAATTGTGCCTTTAAAATAGTTGTTTTTCCATGTATTTATAAATTAAGGATAGCATGCAACAGAGGTCACATACAAATATTGCTGATGAACATTCAACAGGCCCTCTAAGCACCATAATAACTACATCTCACTGTAGTAGTTATGGTGTCAGGAGTTTCCAGGTGCTATTCCACAGCAAGGAGTCAAACCATTATTTAACTGTTAGTTACAGTTTCTTTTATTGCTGGGACTTAAACGTATACTCTAAGCATCAAAATAACTTTTGTTTAATGAACCACTTTTACTGTATAGAATATAGATCATGCTCCTTCAGTGTCACTGCTCAATTCTCTGCCACCTGGGAGTTAAATCACCGTTTCTGTTTATGCAGACTTGGCCAAACATCTTCTGGCTGTGACTGACAGCCTGCATGAAAATAATATTTCATTTTTAATCAGCACAGCATGTTCACTATACAAGTTTTTATCTCCTGCTTTGTTAATTTTATTTTTAAAATTCTTTATTTTGGCCGTGCATAGATAATGATATTGCGCTGCCACAACAGCATGTGCAAGGGTAGAGAAACACTCAGCATAACAGTGGCATTAGATTTATCTGCACATATTTTTTTTAATGAGGGGGCAAGAGGTAGCTGCGATAAGCCAAAATAGAAGCATCAACATTAAAATTTTGCTCAGGTTGTCAAGCGGTGTGCGGGTTTTCGCCTATATAACAGGTGGGTGCCAGTTTGATAAGATATTGGGGTGGTGTGGTCACATGAGCGAGTGCTGCTTTCCTAACTTAACATTCACACACAGGATGCTTCCTGTAGGCTCTAGCAGGAAATGTGCAAGCCATATGCTTGAGAGGTGTGATTAGAGCCGATTTAACTTCTAAATTGTAGAGAACGGAGCAGTGAGACTGCAGAGTTATGAGCTACATACCAAACCCACTCCACTAGGATAAAGTTGTTTTGGTGCTTATGGTGTCCCTTTAATGCAGTGTCTCTTATAGTTTAGGTGGGATGATCATATCATTAACCATTACAATCGTATACCTTCTAACTATGTTTATCTCGTCTGTTGCATTACCTGCAGGAGAAATGGTTTCCAGATTGTAAAGACCGTGAAAGTAGATACACACAGGACAATAGAGGAGACCTCTTACCTCTGCCCAGAAATGCTGGTCAGTGGTGGTCAGGTACTCTGCCCCAACTCAAGAATTTTGTGATTAAAAGTTCATCTCATAACAGAGTTACAAGGCAGCCTTCTTTCTCATCTGATGCTTGGGACGATGTTTTACCTCTACTCTCTGCCAACACAGGTGCCTGTATGAATGTATGTTTGTGTAGGTATGTGTGTGTAGTGTGCTGCCAGTTGGATATATATATATATATATATAAATATATATAACTGATGTGGTATATTTAAATATGTGTGAGAGTGACAAATGGCACCTGTCATGCCCAAAACTGGTTTTGCTCTTTTTAAAGAGCATCATAATTTCACTAGTAAATGTAAAGATCGGGAGAAGAACCTATTTAAAAATATTTTTTTCTTACACCTGTCAATCAGTTCTTTGGAATAGACACTATGCCAAGCAATTGATTGAAAAGGAAAGCAGTAGAAGCGAATGTGCTGAAGTTGCTATGGTAGCTCCCTTGCTGGTTTTGCTAGCCCTGGCTACACAGTATAGATATGTAATGGCTAACATCACTTCATTCAAAGACAAGCATTCTGGCTTCTAAGCCAAGAAATCGGCATCATGGGAGAGTAATGCTCTGCTTAACCCAACTGGACGGAGCATGGGAAGATTTTGACTTGTGGGTGTTACAAAAGTGGGAGGGAGATATTTTAGGTTGGAGACAACCCCTACTTTTCTTTGCATTAAGAAACATGAATAATAAACTAAATATATCCAGGCTTTGGAACTTATCCAATAAGATCTGTACAAATCATGAAGTTGTTCAGCCAATCATGATGTGTCTATTATTTGCAGTAGGTGCAAAGGCTATCCCCTAAACTACAGGCCACTGTGGGTTTAATTAAATTTAAGTTTAGCATTTGGCAGCAATTAATTTTATTAATAAGGTCAATAAATCCGTTGCCTAAACTGAAAGCTTCTTACTGTGAACGGAACTCCTGCACTACGAATGCAGTGACTTGTAGCCACAATTTAAATCCAATGTTTGAGGTTACTGGCAAGAGCAAGTCACAGATGCATTTAATAAGTTTGTGTAAAGTTAAGCACTGCCTTCATTTGTAGAGTGTGTGAAAATGCTGTCAGTACATTATACATCAACAGACTTCACACTTTTTATTGAAAAATTACAACTCAAACAAATGCTGGATATTTCTTTAAATGATTCCAATTTAACAAGAATAAAATTATATCTAAAAAGGTTTTGACGGTCACATACCTTTCGAAAGTTTGGTTGGCAATTCTGGTCAAGCCACTTAGAATAAATAGAAATAGATTTACTGGTTGTTAAATCTTCACTTGGAAAACCCATGCTTTGCGCAAACAAGGATGCTAAAATGAAATGTATAGTTATGAAATTTATAAAATGTTGTTTCTTTTGAATACTGCATTCTAGATCTGGTTCTATTCACTTAAAATACTGCATTCTACATCTGGTTCTATTTACTTAAAACCCCAAAACCAGAATCCAAGTGATTTAAAAGGGAAATTCACTTCTCTGGAAATTACAAAAAGATTACAATAGAAAATTACCTACAACTTGTATGAACTATTTTATATGTATTGCTTTATTGTCTTTGGGAAAGCATTGGCTTGGCCGAGATCAGAGATTGAGAAGAGGAGTGGAGCCAGTCACCTAAACAGTCAAATGCATACTGACAGATACGCAAACACACACTAACTGGCAGATACACACACATTCTCTCACACACTCATAAATTATAACACATTTGTTTTTTTTTGTTTTTTTTATATAATTCCATCCAAACTCCCTATCTTTGGAAGAGCGGGAGTCCAGTATGGGGATCCAGTATGGCTGCTGTAATTGTCAAGCTCCTCTTGCTCTGCTTCCTCACTCACTGTATAGTGATGCTGTGGTGACATCATATCCTGGCTCCCGGGATCACAGCAAGAAGAGCTTGAAGATTACTGCTACCTCACTGCCCGGCTCCACTCTGCCTCAGCTGGCTGGCTCTACTCTCCCTCGCAGCTAAATGGGCTGAATAACATGGCGACCTGGCCCCTGGATTTGTGGAGCCCTGAGTTGGACCATTAAAAGGACCACTCTAGGCACCCAGACCACTTCAGCTTAATGAATTGGTCTGGGTGCCAGGTCCTTCTAGGGTTAACCCATTTTTTTATAAACATAGCAGTTTCAGAGAAACTGCTATGTTTATGAATGGGTTAAGCCTTCCCCTATTTCCTCTAGTGGCTGTCTCATTGACAGCCATTAGAGGCGCTTGCGTGCTTCTCACGTGATTTTCATAGTGAGAGCACGCAGCGTCCATAGGAAAGCATTGTAAATGCTTTCCTATGCGACGGGCTGAATGCGCGCGCAGCTCTTGCCGCGCGTGAGCATTCAGCCCAGGAGGAGGATCGGAGGAGGAGAGCTCTCCGCCCAGCGCTGGAAAAAGGTAAGTTTAAACACCTTTCCCCTTTCCAGAGCCGGATGGGAGGGGGTCCCTGAGGGTGGGGGCACCCTCAGGGCACTATAGTGCCAGGAAAACGAGTATGTTTTCCTGGCACTACAGTGGTCCTTTAAGTGAGGCGGAAGGAGGAGGTTACTGAGAGCAGTCGAGAGGCATCATTGAAGTAAGGGTTGTTGATTGGGGATATGAAAGTTCCCAAGGATAAGGGAGTGCTAGGGGAGAGAAAGTGGTGTCGCAAGGAAGAATAGAATTCAATGAATAAGCTAGGATGACCAGGAGGCAATAAATGGTGGAGATTCTTAAAGGATTGGGCTCATATAGGCGGACAGTGTGAACTTCAAATGAAGGAAAAGATAAGGCAGGGGCAGGTAAGAATGGCTGAAAGGTACATTGAGGGTTAGAGAAGGATGCCTACACCAATTCCTTTATAGTGGTTGAGTCTGGGAGTGTGGGATAGTTGTAGCCCGCCAAAGCCTAAAGAAGCAGTAGTTGCACTAAGAGTAACAGAGGGGGACAGCCAGTCTCAGTGAGTGCTAGTAAAGTGAGAGATTTTGAAATGAAGAGGTTGTGTATATCTGTAGATTTTAGATTGCCGTAGACAGAGTGGGTGTTCCAAAGTACACAAGGAACATTGGAAATAGAGGATAAATGACAGGGTACCGGAATGAGCTTCATATGGTTACTGGCTTGCTTAGTGTGAGCCGGGGTAAAAAGCCCTAGGTGTTTATCTAAAGCAGGGTATCTTTTAACTCAGGCTGTGGGAGAGAGATATATTATGGTCAGATAGGCCTGCAATAAAGCTAAGGATTAAAGCGATGCATCTATGCACATTTTAGGTGAGGGTTAGTCAAGCAGAAACAAACAATGAAATGAAAAAAATAAGTAAACAATCCAATAATATGAACTGGGAATGGTAAAACTTAACTGTAGCATACAAGATAAAACATAATGATGAGAAAATATGCTATATACTTAGGTTACCCAGGCTATAGGTAAATGAATTAAAAGGTGTGTAAAATATATTGAAATTATGATTGATGTTAATAGTAGAAGCAGCCTTTGGTCTAAAGAAAGGTTGGAGTCTTGGGATGACTTTATCCAAATGGAAGACAAGGTATGGTTCCCAATGCACCAGTGCTTGTAACTCTCGCAGTCTCTTAATTGAGGTAATTGTTACTAAAAACAGGGTTTTCCATGGCAGGATTATAACACTGCATGAGATTAAAGGCTCAGATAGGGGTTCACATAGATTACAAATGGCTCTAAGAAATCTCAAAACTAAAGGCTGCAACGCCAAATCCAGAATGGTGAAGAAACTTATTGAAAAGGTCTATAACTTCATGGAAGCCGAACGTAGACCCTTGTAGAAGCATAATTAAAGAAAATGTACAAGTTTCAGTATGGAAGCTGTGAGGGGATCAATTGTTTCTTCCAGATACCAGGACATTTTTATTTTCCAGATTATGGAAGTGATGGGGTCTGGAGTGTCCCTTTATGAAGGTTGGCTTCATTCACCCTGTACCTGTTTATCCACCAGAATTCAGATTAACTTTTACACTGATTTACATACCTGACTCTCCAACTAAAAATGTATGTTTAGTGTATTCCATCACAGCTCTCGCCACACCTATAGCATTTTTTATCCGTCTAAGATTAGCAACTGCTCCAGCTTCCATTGTGTTACTAAAATAAATATACAAAAGTATTTGTTGTATCATAAGAATGTTTTAAATAAAATATTTTATTAAAAAGGTTTATACATCACATTATTATGTACGGATTGTATACCCCATACCAAGCGGATTGTTAAAAAAGTACTTACCCATTCATAATCATGGCATCTAAAGTGGTTTCACCATATTCGTCAGGGCTTCCTCCATAACCTACACTGCCATCACACTGATCGATTTCACATTGTGTGCATCCTTTCTCTACAGCATCCAGAGCAGATCCACCAAGTTCCAACACGTTCCATGCTGAAAACATATTGACTTACATATTACATATTGACTTACTTAGCTCAATGAAGTGGTCTGTGTGCCAGGTCCCCCAGGTTTTAACCCTGCAGCTGTAAACATAGAAGTTTCAGAGAAACTGCTATGTTTAGAATTGCAGGGTTAATACAACCTCTAGTGGCTGTCTTCCTGACAGACGCTAGAGGCGCTTCCGCTACACTCAATGCGTAAATCGCATTGAGCACGCAGAACGTCCATAGAAAAGCATTGAGTAATGCTTCCCTATGGGCAGTTTGAATGTGCACAGCTCTGGCGGCACATGGGCATTTGGCTCCACTCAGGAGCTGACATCGGAGAGGGAGGAGAGGTCACCAGCACCAAGAGAGCGTGGCACTGGATTAAGGTAAGTGGCTGAAGGGGTTTTAAAGCCCTTCAGCCCAGCAGGAGGGGAGCCCTAAGGGAGGGGGGGTACCCTAGGACTATATAGTGCCAGGAAAACAAACTATAGTGGTCCTTTAAAGCAAACGTTAACACTACCTGAAGAATACAATTAAATAAGAGTAAGCTGCAACGTATTGGAAGATTGATGGGTCACAAAATATTTGGTCTATTGAACATGTGAAAATGTGTTGCTGCAAATGGAAAGCCAGAAAATTAGCCACTATGTAAATGGATATGGTGAATTAAATTAGAAAAAACAGAGCTTACATTTTAGGTAATTTCCTTTTTAAGGGAACACTCCAGACACAGGGAGCATTTCAGCTTGCTAAAGTCGTTTATTGTCTCTAATCTGTCAATTTTTTGTTACTCTATAAAAGTGTGCCTGACTCCTTTTTTCAAAGGCTGTAGTACAGCTCATTGAGAAGCACTGGGAAAACAGTGATTGCATGTCCTACTGTGTATTCAGCATATAGGCTTCTCAATGAGAAGCCTTTCATTGGTCTATTCCCCTGGACCTTGGATATATGGGAGTACTTGCAAAAGCTGCAGCTTTTGCAAGATTTTTTTTCATATTTCCCCCCAAAAATGCAGGTAAAATGCATACTTTCTTTGGGGTATATCTGCTAACTAGTTGCGGGGGGTAAAGTGTTTTAATGGTGTGTTCCTTTAACCCCCTTTAGGACACGTGACATGTGTGACATGTCATGATTCCCTTTTATTCCAGACAATTGGTCCTTAAGGGGTTAAAGAGACACTGTTGTCACCAAAACAACTTTAGCTTAAGTAAGCAGTTTTGGTGTATAGATCATGTCCCTGCAGTCTCACTGCTCAATTCTCTGTCATTTAGGAGCTAAATCCCTTTGTTTATGAACCCTAGTCACACCTCCCTGCATGTGACTTGCATAGTCTTCCTAAACACTTCCTGTAAAGAGTCATCTAAAGTTTGTCCTTCCTTTATTGCAAGTTCTGTTTAATTTAGATTTTCCTATCCCCTGCTATGTTAATAGCTTGCTAGATCCTGCAAGAGCCTCCTGTATGTGATTAAAGAGATAGAGATACAATTCTTTAAGGTAAATTACATCTGATTGAAAGTGAAACTAGATTTTTTCCTGCAGGCTGTGTCAATCAGAGTAAGGGGAGGTGTGACAATGGCTGCATAAACAGAAACAAAGTGATTTAACTCCTAAATGGAAGTGACTTGAGCAGTGAAACCTGAGAAGCATGATCTGTACACTAAAACTGCTTCATTAAGCTAAAGTTGTTTAGGTGACTATAGTGTTCCTATAAGATGCAGTGGCTCTGGTGACTATAAAGTCTCTCTAATTTTGTCGAAGTTCTGCGAGAGGCTGTCCCTCCTGCAGATGCAGGCAGACTCGCCAAGCACCGATTTGTCTGGAAGTTTGTGGTATTTTGTAATAAATCATCTATATAATGCTTAACAATTGGTGTTAATGTTTACCCTACAGTTTGCCTTTAAATTGTCTTCCACAAAAAATGCCACTACAACTAAAAGATATAAACCGATTAGTAATGCATTTTAGCTTGTTTCAGGCTCTTTAATACATCCTAAAATGTACTTTTTTTGTAACTAACAATAACCAATGTCTTGTTGGGCAGTTACTTTTTGACAAGGAAATGCTCTTCCTCCTTTATCACATATGCCAATCACCAATCAAGAACTAGTTCTCCCTGCACATTCCCTCCATGGAAACTTTGCTAGTTTGCGTGAAGAGCAGCTATGGACCCTTGACATTCAATGATCAGACCCAGACGGCTGTCCATCAGGAAGATACTCAGCTATTGAAACTTGGGATGAAACCTGCTATGAGCAGAGCAAAGCGCGCTGCCACTGCTGGAAGCAAAGAATTGTGTTTTAGTTCTTCACCTGCTTCTGCCGCCCTTGTGAATGGCCATGTGTTGATGACAAGCGGCCGCACCGTGGGCTCGGGACTCACAATGCCGATTACAGTCGCTATGACCCACAGCAGACACTGCTTGCAGTTTGCAGCTTGCATGGCAATGAAAAAAAACCCGGAAACAGAGGCGCATGCGCAGAAGGAGATTACGCGTCTGGGCGGACTGCGTCACGTGTTGTGTCAGATAGAACATACACAATTAGCCACAATGTATCTCTCTGCCCAGGGTCTTACAAACTCGGGGGTTCTAATGCTGGTCTTTATGCCTGTTTATCTTAATGGTTTTTTTGTTTTCATTGTAGCATGACTCAGAACGTGATGACTGATTACTTTTTTTTTTGTGTGGTGGGTATGTTATGGTTCTTTGCTCTGTAACAGAGTTCATTGACTTTTCGGAAGTTCTGGTGCTTATAGTGGTTCTCTGCTTTAACAAGCTACAGGAGTATCTGCAAATGGAAGATTGTGTTTGCTTGGTGTGAGTCAGGCAGTGCGAACTATTCTGTATCCCCACTTTCTTGGAATATGTGAAACAGAGTAACCTGCCATACTGTGAACTCCCACCATTTTAATCAAAATTGGAGAACAGAGAAACATGCAATAATTGAGGATGAAATGATATTTGGGGGGTGGGATGGCTGTGCAAGTCACATCCAGGGAGTGTGCAAAGTGATTTAACTCCTACATGGCAGAGAATGGAGCTATGAGACTGCTTTATTAAGCTAAAGTTGCTGGATTTTGTTATTTGGGCACAGACTCTATGATATTGGGCAGGGGAGAACCGTCAACATTTTGCCCCAAGTGCAACTACAACCTAATGGCAGCCCTGTACCGCAAGTCAGCATGTCTTAAATTTCACAGATACACACAAAACCACATGGATTCCCACACAAACACTCATACAGCTGTACACAGTCACTAACAAATACATCACAGGCAGTTAGTGTAAATTCTTTTTCTGTTTAGGGATTTAAAAGAAACTTGAAGCCACACTAATGCCAGTTTAGGACAGCTCATACCATTATCCAGACACCCCTTAAACATGATGAATGCCAATTCCTGGCATGCTCCTCACAGATGTAGCAGCTGTGGTCAACTAAACAATCTTCTCAATGCTCATGTGAGCAAATTAATTGTCCTGAGCTGGTGCTAGATTTCCTGTGTGATCCTCGGATTAAGGTGAAAGTGGCACTCCAACACAACAGCCTGGCACACTGAAGTGACAGACTTATTAACACAGATCAAGATTTCCAGCAAAAGAGAGGCGTGCTGGTTGAAGAAGATGTGCAGATTGAAGCAATTTGTCATTGTCTAATACTACTAGCAGCAGCAGAGTAACCCAAACAAGTAGCCCCAGGTGGACCCATGCCTGGGCCTCGGGCTCTGGATGGACCCTCATCAAACGTCAAGACAGATCAAAAGATCGCCCAACCTGGCCCTTAGCTCAGGCCAAGTCTATGGGAGAGTTGTGTAGCCGCACATGTCAAGAGGGGTACCTTGCAGCCAGCACAGCTCAGGAGGGAGGTAAACATTATATAAATAAATAAAAGGCATAACAGTGTGGGAAGACTGTGTATAACAGTCTTCCCACATGCTGCCACTCCCCCCACACACTCTACTACATTCACCACCCCTCACCCTGTCACACTCACCCATCAACCCTGTATCACTTACTATTTTTACCCTGCCACACACCCTGTAATACACAACCCCTCAATCTGTCATGCTGACACTGTCACACTCACTCCCCGACTCTGCACACTCACACACTCACCCTGCCACATCCATCCCTACTCATTTTGTCACACTCACCCCCTAACTCTGTCACACTCACCCTGATCACCTTGCCAAACTCACCTTGTTACTCCCTGTCTAAATCCCTTACAATTACCAAAGGGAAAAAAAAACTCTCTTAACTTAGGAACATGGCTCATGTGTGTTCATTTGTGTAGTCCATCTAATTTTAGTTGTGACACTAGTTTCCTCTTGACTATGTGCAAACATCATGTAATTAGTAACTAGCTGTTTTGATGTTCGAATAGATTATGGTCTATTGTTCATCCATAATTCCCATTTATGCTCTCGTTGGATCTGCTGTTGTAGTAGTTGTCAAGCAGGTCTAGGTTTTCACTTTGTAACCATGAATGGTTTCTTTCAGTATCCCACTTGGCATCAGTTGGCCTAGTTCGGATGTTGTCCCCTCCTGTTTACCTTTCAAGGAGTGGGGTATGCTCTCTGGTGGTCCTATGGGAAAGCCTACTATCTACTCCTTACCAGGTGCTTACTTCATGGTGCTTCAGTGAAAGGCAGATCACTGTTCACTCAGGCTTTCCCTAATGGCTTTTGATGGTTAACCAACTGCAGTGTTCTAAATAACATATAAGCACTGGGACAGTGCAGAAGTGAAGAATGTGATCTGCATGCATAGGAGGTGCAGTCCACATGCTTCCTGGTTATAATGACTGGGCACAGGTCTGGTCAGGGAGGTCTTGGATCTTGCTATCAGTCTGTAGTGAAGCAGGTTTTACCTTTGATGTACCCTTTCCTATTTTGGCTATATCCCTACGGTGTGTGGACCATAAGTTGAAAAACAAGGGGTATGTCACTACCACTAAGGCCTTTTGTGGTCATCAAAATACCCTTTTTGTTTGTCAGTTTAATGGCTTTACTAGTTGCAAGTGTGACCAGTTGCAGTGAGATAAGACTACTGGTGCCACCCTAGGCAAAAACATTATAAAGTGTCTTAGTCTTAATTGCTGGCAAACTGGAAGGGTTACCTTCCGCTTTGAACAATCACTAGTTTTAATGTTTCTCTATGATAAGTTCTGCTGGTAGATCACAGGGATTGCCGAACATGTGAATTGTGTCTCGATGCATCTCCTTGAAAAGCACTGGATTGGCCAGGAGATCATCACTAGTGGTGAAGTGGAACCCAACTTCAGTGAGAGGATTTTCTTATCACTGGATTAAAGGTAGGTAACTTGTTTTTTTGTTTGTTTTTTTAGAGAAGTGGTGGGGACCTTAAATCTAAAATAACAAAGAAACATTCCAACATTACAAATAAAAATCAGAAAAGCACATTTTGGGAAATATTATGTGAGTATTTTCTTTTCTTTAGACTTTTATTTAAAATATAATTTGTAAAAGATCGATTATTTGTAAAATATCTTTATTTAATAATGTTATGTTTTTTTTTGTTTTTTTTTAATAATATCTATTTTTATGTAGCTTCTAAATCTGCTGTGTCCATAATAGACACTGACCAGCATCAAGAAGGAAGTTAATGCTTGACAAAAAGGAATTTATCAGCTCAGTTGCAAAAAATGTAGACGAAAAAGGGTTCTAAGGACTTCTTAGCTCATTCATTATGAAAAACTAATACATGTATATATATTTTTAACTGCCTTAAGTGCATTAGAAATTTTAGTTTTTTTTAAAACAAGATTTTCCCTTTGAGGATAGTGTTAAAGAGCTATATCTTGTTTTTAAAACACTGATCTTAGTAAAGCAATTCAGGACATTAGACCTAATTTCTAAATTGTGTTTTATTTCTCATTGCATTTATACATATATAGCATGCGTGCAATACCTGGCTTATTAGATCTGATTCTAATGACTATTTATGTAGGGCCATGTCTAAAAACAGTGTTTTTTTCTACCGTTAAGATATGCTGTTTGAAAAACCTGATTTAGAAAAAGAGGTGTACATAATGCTAGTTAAATATATATCGTTTAAATATTTATTTTCTGTTTCAATCAACATAAGTTGTATTCTAAAAACAGTACCAATATATTGTATTTATTAAAAAACATTGAAAAAAATAGATAATATGCCTTAATAACAATAATTTCTTTGACTATTAAATTACTTATTTTTTATTTATGTGGAAAAAAAATAGGATATTTGAAATGTGTTTTTAAATTGTAAGCTTATGTAACTTTCCTACAAATTACTTTTCAAAGCTTCCCAGCCTAGTTGGAAACCAATTTATAATGGCCAATTAAAACATGATAGAGCTCCAAAACAGAAGCTCAAGTGTACTGTATTTTGCTGTTTTTAAGGCAAATCTACAATGATAATTACCCAGAAGGACCATTAGCCCAGAGAGATGTCAGTTTTACATAGCATTGGTTTTACTCTATATAGCACCTAAACCAGCCAAAACCAATTGGCCGGAAAAAATATTAAGAATATGAATCAACCGTGTATACTGTGCATTAACTGTAAAGAACCGTGTGATGGAGTCTTCATCACCCTCTCTGCAAACATATTTTTTCTTATTACGTGGTTTTGCAACACAATTATTATCATTCAAATTGGAAGACCAGCTGTGCAGGTTGGACCCAGCTGTCGGACTGTAGAGAAAATAGCCATCTGGTGCCTGGTTCTGTGTTGTTAAATTCCAGCTGGGTATTTGAAATCCTATCTAGCAATCACAGTTGGAATGTATGGGTGCATAATATTCTGCTGAAGTAGCCCTTCTGGAATATTATAATTTTTTTTTTGCAGATCTTTTTTTCTTCAAAGAGCATCAATGGTGCATTGCTGATTAGATTAGCAATACTCCATTTATAGTGTTTTGTGTTGGGCTAAACAGAGACCTTTAGTTGTTTCTCGTGAGTTACAAAATTTTAAGAACATTAACTTAATAGTGTAGTGTTTGCAATTTAAAATTAACTCAAAGTATGCATATGGAAACATTTCAAATTTCATATTCATAGAAATCCATACTATACATCTTGTCTATGGTGGACCATTGGAAGGCATTAATGATACAAATTCTTCATGTAATCAATCAGTGAGAGTACTTATGAATAGCATGTTAAGGTTAACCTAAATACACTCATTCAGAAGAAAAAATGCTAATTAAAATAAAACAGATATATAATAAGAATTTTAGCTTATATAAGAAGAACACACTGGACATATTGTCCTGTAGAATAGGATCATCTAGAAAATCATGATGGGATTGTCTTAGAATTCCCAGTTTTTTTCTGATTGTGTTTTTTAGTTATGTTGATTATGTATTATACTTTTTATACTGTGCAATATAGTATCTCTGTTCCTTTCCATTTTCATTCTTATAAAACTTTTACAAAAATCCTGAGGGGTAGAAAGGCGAATATAAAAATGTTTTTTGCAATGAATTAACCTCTTTGTGTATTTTCTCAAGAAATATATCGATATAGTTTTACAGCGGACGTGTCATCAACAAGAATTTTACATTTCATCTGATAGGTTAAATGATTGCAGAAACCTGTCATACAAAAAAAAAGGAACATTAAGAAGTAATTTATCTACTCACCCCGAGATTATAATCTTTCTGTGTTACAATCTATCTTCTTCAAATGCAGCCTCTATTTTCACCTCACTGTGAGAAAACAATATGGAAGTGTGCCAAAGATTGTGCAAGGTGACTGATGTCAAGGATATTTTGAAATCTTCTTTTATATGAGCATTGTGCATCACATATTAAGATGCTTACAGCATCTGGCATTAAAGTCAAATAGACAAAAATGCACATTATTGTCCTTTTTATTGAACCTGTTAATTATTAAATAAACGTGCATAGGGTGGTCAATGATAATATAAAAATACAGGTACCCTTCATGCCACCCATGGGCACTGGGTGGGGGCCTAAAAGTAAATAATGTGGTTAGAGAGGTCACTGTCCATCTCCTTGCACTGTCTATCTCACTCGTGGCCAAAGGGTGGAGGATCTATTAAAGCGGCACTGTCATGGCCTCATCCAGTTTTTTTAACCTCTCCCTTTTTACCCCTCCCCTCCATTTATTTTAATCTCCCTACTAATGCCCCTAGGTCCCCAGTTTTACCTTTTTTAACTCTTTTTTTTTCCTAACGATCTGTGATAGATGGCATGATTTGTTTGGCACAAGCTCATGGTGCCATTTTTGTGACTGTTTTCCATGTACATAGGCATCTCTATCTACTACAGCAAAGGGCTGAGTTGATGTAACCAGAGATTTCTCTGAAGGGACAGTGGGTCCAATCAAGATAACCTTTTGTTGTCAAGGTGTATGGGTGCAGGGGGTGAGGAACTAGTGTAAGGAATAGTTTTGTAGTTCCTTTCCTGTGCCCTATTCTGTATTCCCATTGGTGCAAATGTATGTGCAATGTTTATTTTACTGTATGCTGTGATCTATGTAAGCTGGATCTGGATACATTAAACAGAGTCTGAGTTCTGTTGAGTTGCCAAGAAAGAAGCTAGGTTATCTCACAAGATATGGCTGTTCATTGTCCTATATAGAGTAACTACTAATAAGAGGTTTTGCCAGTAGACTGGATGGATAGAATATCATATAGTAACCAGATATCAGCTCAGTATATTCTGTATACGCTACCAAAAAATGAGTCCTAGCATTTAGTGAAGCAGTTTAGTGGTGCAAGTTATGTTTAAAGAATACCCACGGACAATATTTAAGCAGTATTGTCACAGATGTAGGTAGTAGATGCCCTATCTTAGTATCACGGGCAGATGTAGGTCAAAAGCGCCCGCATCTTAGTGTGGGAGGATGTAGGCCATGTGAGACAAGTCATCTGTCCACACTACATAGCACAGTGAAATTACAGAGTGTCACGGTCCACGCCGTGACATCCAGTCTGCCAGACTCGTCCACCTAGGCCAAGACCCCTTCTGTCTGGTGCCATATGGACTTACCCTGTCATCCCAGCAAGACAGCCTGGACACTGCCAGAACTGTCCCCGTCCTGTGACACAAAAGGGTACCCAAACCAATACCGTTAATGTTACCAGTACCACTGTGGAAACTTCACCTCTTGCTCTAGAAAAATTTGGACCTCTTCCTGATAACACTTCTGTTCAAGCAAGCACCATCACCACTTCCTGCCTTGCCAAAACAGTTCTGCCTCCTGACTGCACCTATGCCTCAAATGGCACAGTTGTGTGTAAACAAGACCTAGAAATATTCGAAAAAGCTTTGAAAGCTGCAAATGCCTCCCCTATAGCACCCGAAACTGGTACCATAAAGTCCCAGTCTGTAGACTTTGATTACAAAGACTATCTTAGTGATACTGATACTGAAGATGAAGAGTACCATTTCCAGGAAGAGCCTGTTCACGCCCGGAGGGCGTTCTTGACGGGGGGGTACTGTCACGGTCCACGCCGTGACATCCAGTCTGCCAGACGTGGTCGCTCTGGAAGCGCCCGATAGGGGATTTGAACTGTGGTTCTTCTGGACCATATCCTGCTGTTCTTCCTCTGAGCCATTTCAGGACTTTGGATAACTCCCTGTTTATTCTTGTATTGCCTGCAGCACCAGGGGGCTGGACTTCACCAAAGGCTCTGATCTGTCAGTAACTCTCCAGCTGAATCTGATCCTAATTAACAGGATATAAAAGCCTGCCTCACCCTGGGAGGGGTGTCAGTTCATTGACTCTGGTTCTCTTGTTTGGTTCCTGTTACTCTGTACCTGCGTTCCAGTGATTCTTGTCTTTCCGGCTTCTGACCTTGGCTTTCCTCCTGGACTACTCTGACCTCTGGCTTCCCTGATTTTGGCTTCCCTTGACCACGCTTCTGCTTATCCCTGCTGTACTGAGTCTTGGAGCACCTTTCCTGGAAAGCCCCCGTGCACAGACTCACAGGCCAGGTGGCGTCTTACCTGGTCACCCTGGTCTGTGTCTACTTTGCAAGGGTGAGCGTATAACTCTGCGAGCTGGACTCTCTATCAGGTAAGACTCCGTTACACAGAGCACGCCTACTTGAATACTTGGGCATTTGCTGTTGTCCACCGATATTCGGACAGGAATTTCGGCTATCCGTTCATTCAGAAGAAAGACGAATTAATAAATATTAATTTCAAACATTGAACGATAAAAGAAATGTAATTCTATCTTTGTTCATTCCTTTAGTTTATTACAAGGAGAGAGCTACTGGCTTGCAGCCTCCTCCTTCTAATATGTAAAAATAGAAGCAACAAGGAACTGTGCTCTCTGCCACTTCAAGAACCCCCTCATATCTGCCCTCTTTCTATGGGATAATATGACCCCCATACTAGCATAAGGAAGTTTAAAATCTCCATAATGCTATGCCACAAGTAGGGGTATGTCTACTAAACAGTGAGCAGCCTGTGGCTTCTCACTGCTGTAGAAAAAAAAAAGACCCCTCAATAAAATTCCATGAACCGAGACCAGCACATCAGATCAGGGAATCCCTTGAACCTATGTTTGAGATAAATTCCCCAAACATAGACCAGCTCTCTAACGTGGGGAATCCCCAAGCTAGAGCTGGTCGTAAGTCCGAGCTGTCATTATGTAGGTAGGTCGCAAAGTGAGGACTACCGGTAAATGTGTATGAATTGTTAGTATGTAAATAATATAAAATAATTATAGCCAGGCCTAAAAATTACTAGTGCAGGTCTGGAGGATACCTGGCACACTAATGAGTGGTAAAATTCTACTAGCCAGGACTGGATTTTCACTTGTTAAAGGGACACTCCAGTGCCAGGAAAACAAACCGTTTTCCTGGCACTGCAGGTACCCTCTCCCTCCCACCACCCATCCCATGTTGCTGAAGGGGTGAAACCCCTTCAGTGACTTACCTGAGACCCCCGCCGATGTCCCTCGGTAGTGGTTTCGGGTCCGCCCACGCTCATCCGACAGAGGAGACCGATCGCGCATGCGCGCCCGCTGGCGGGGGAGACCTAACGCGCGTGCGCGGGAATGCCGCGCGCACATTAGACCTCTCCATAGGAAAGCATTGAAAATGCTTTCAATGCTTTCCTATGGGGAATTGAGCGACGCTGGTGGTCCTCACACAGCGTGAGGACGTCGAGCGACACTCTAGCACAGAAAGCCTGTGCTTGAAACCAGGAAGTTCCCCTCTAGTGGCTGTCTAGTAGACAGCCACTAGAGAAGGAGTTAACCCTTTATGAAAACTGCAATATTTACAGCTGCAGGGTTAAGGGTAGTGGGAGTTGGCACCCAGGCCACCCCAATGGGCAGAAGTGGTTTGGGTGCCTGGAATGTCCCTTTAATGGCTAGTGAAGAGTATACATTTTGGGCCCTGGTATATAAATTGTTGTTCATAGATGTCTAAAAATGTAAATTACTTAGATATACACAGTGTTATTTTTAGTTTTTTGTTCATGTTTTAACCCCTTAAGGACCAGACTGTTTTGGCCATGTTGTATGTTAAGGACCAGGGCTGTTTTAACACTTTTGTGGTGTTTGTGTTTAGCTGTAATTTTCCTCTCTCTCATTTGCTGTTCCCATACAAATTATATATTGTTTTTTTCAGGACAATAATGGCTTTCTTTACATACCATTATTTGTATCATGTCATATAATTTACTTTAAAAATAAAAATAAAAAATATGGTGAATTTTTAAAAAAACAAAACGTTTTTTACTTTTAATTGAAAAATCTTTTACTCATCTACAAAAGCAAATTTAAAAAACTGCTAAATAGATTCAAAAATTTGTACGGAGTTTAAAAACTTTAAAAAGGCTTTTTTTTGCCAGTTATAGGGCTTTAAGTACAAGTAGGACATTGCTGTTTCAAAATATATATTTTTAAAATTTATCAATAGTGACATTGTAACACTGTTATCTGTCATAAATCTCTGAATCACACCTCACATGTACATATTTTTTTTTTAAAGTAGACAACCCAGGGTATTCAATATGGGGTATGTCCAGTCTTTTTAGTAGCCACTTAGTCACAAACACTGGCCAAAGTATGAATGCTAACTTTGGCCAGTGTTTGTGACTAAGTGGCTACTAAAAAAGACTGAACGTAATTCTCATTCCTGGGCTACCATGCGCTCTCAAAGGCAACATAACCAATCTGGCAAATTGAAAAAAAAATGAAGATCAAGCCTTATATTTTACTCTCTAACTTTCAAAATCACTATAAAACTTGTACAAGGGGGGTACTGTTATATTTGGGAGATTTCGCTGAACATAAATATTAGTGTTTTCAAAGCAGTAAAGTGTATCACAACAATGATATCATCAGTGAAAGTGCTGTTTTTGTGTGAAAAATGCAAAAATGTCACTTTCATTGACAATATCATTGCTATATGTTTTACTCTTTTGAAACACTAATATTTGTGTACAGCAAAGTCTCCCGAGTAAAACAGTACCTCCCATGTACAGGTTTTAGGGTGTCATGGAAAGTTACAGTGTTAAATACATTGCTAGAAAATTCATTTCTTTGGACTTTCGGCCTGGGTTGTCAGGCAGGTCCCTCAAATTGCAATCAATAAAATTACTTAATTATGTAAAAATATTACATAAATATGCACGTAGAAATTAAATATATATACATAGTTATATATTTGAAGTCTACGTGTATATTTATGAAGTTATTTATGTAATTATGTATATGGATATATATTTTGTATTATTTGTATTTATATATACATAGATATATATAATTTCATTCAAAGTGTATTTTGAGGTGAATATATATATATATATATATATTTCAAATCAAAATACAGTTAGAATAAAATTACATATATATAATTATTTTTAATTTTATTATTTTTACTTTATTTGTATTTATATAATATATATATATACACGTGTGTAATTTAATTGTGTTTTTTTAATATTAATATAAAAATACACTTAGTATGACATATATACAAGATATGTATACATATTAAATATAGATATAATGTGTGTGTGTAATATGTGTGTGTGTATATATATAATGAGATATATATATATATATATATATATATATATATTTTTTTTTTTTTATTTACTGAGAATTGTTACTAACATTTTTTGATTTACATTTTATATTTTCCAGCAACAGGGAGATTGTCTGTCAGCATGGGCAGTCCCCCTGCAGGCAGATACCCAGGCACCTATTGCGGCCATGTGACCGCTCTGTTAGAGCGATCACATGGTCTGCGGGGGCCTAATTTGATGAGGGGGGACTGTCTGGGCTGTCAGGCAGTCCGTTCAGACCCAGAGCAACACCGATCACCGGAGGGGGAAGGGCGGCGATAAGGTTAGTAATTGTGACGGTTCAGGACTGTCATCAGTCATCAAGGAGATGTTTCTGATGACGTTCCTGAACCGTCATTGGTCATTAAGGGGTTTAAGACATGTTGTGGGAATAAAAAGTTTTACACACTTAATAATATCCGGCCCTTGTAATATTTTACACAGGTTCATTTCTTGTGTGGCAACTATACTTGTGCAGAGTGGTATATTGCGTTCTTCCAAACAACTTTGCAGAAAAATATTCAGGATGGCAGAATTTTGCTCATGCTGCAGTTAGGCTCAGCAGCTGAATTTCGGAACCAAAAAAAATAGAGAAATCATTTTGGACACCCAAAAACTCAGGAAAAATGCTTCACGTGATCATGCAGAGGTATTATCTGTCCTCATAGCTGAGGTGTTTCAGCTCTCAGAAGCTATGACGCTATGCTGATGGTTGATTGAGGAACAGGATCCATTCCCTCTACCCCTGCAACTCCCTCAAGTCTATCTTGGAATTTGTACCTGACATTGATAAATATGGGTTTGTTTTTCTTGTTGTAATGAATTATGGATATAAATGATTGTGTATTGTGTAAGCTAACACAATTTTATTCAGCAAAAATATGAGTTTGTGTTGCAAAATGGGTTTGTGCTTAGTAGATTTAATACCTCAATTTTGTTGTGGTTGACTTTAACAACACTACACAGTGCTCACACACTTGCACTGGACTGAACACACTGAAAATTTCCACTAATGAGGCAGTGGAAAAAATCTAAAACACAAACTAGCTGATATGGAGGAACAGGCTAGGTGGAACAGTGTAAGATTCCACGGGATCAGCGACAAGGTATTCTAAGTAGATTATACCTATGTGCAACATGATAGCACAAGGTGTGGAGGAATACACCTGGCCCGACTACCACGCTTCACGGCCGACACACTGAAGGATACAATTGTCTGATTCCACTACTTCAAATCTAAAGATCTACTTCTAACTGCTGCTAGGAAACTTCAAGCATTGCTGGAGTCCTATAGGAAGAAATATATATCAAAACCACATAAAGAGGAATAATCCCAAAAACAAGTGAAGTGGTAGAAAACAACCATAAAATACAACCTGAACGTTGAGGGATGGCAGAATATTGTCTACAAAATATAAATGCATAACATAACATAGTGTATACTGTATAATACAAATGTATATGAAATAGAAGGTGGACAACCACTCACATTTACCAGTGCCGTACCAGGCTCTGTATAGCAGGCTCAAGGGTGCCAATTCAGGCTGATGAAATTCCAAATAATAGATGAAGAAATTCCGTAGTAAAAAAGGTATATATTTATTAAAGGATAAAAATAATAAGCAAACTCCTGGTTATAAGGGAGTGGAACCCAATAACAAATAATATAAAGAAGGTTTCCACTTACCCAAGCTGTAAAAACCAAAGGAGTAATATAAAAGAAGAGTAAAAATTACAATCAAATAATAAATAGCAGCAAACACGTTTCGGCTTGGTAGCCTTCTTCCAGTGCTCTTCCTCAAGTCCTCGTGGCTTGTTTAAATGCGCCCGGCATTTCAGATCACCTGTGCGCAGTTTTCTTCCGCGTACGTCACTTCCGGTATTTTCGAACGATGTCACTTCCGGTTTCGTCAGTTGGAACGCATAATGGAACGCATACAGCGTTCCATCGTTTCCGGTATCGGAAAAAACTTATGTTTTTCAAGAAAAGCTCATAATGAAAAGAGAAAGATATATAAATACAAAATATCCAACAGATATAAAGCCAAAGAATAGTTTAAAGAATATTTGACTTGCCATATATATCTGACATTTATATTTGACATGTATCTGTATAAAACAGAATACATATGAATAAGAGGAGATATAGGAGCTGGCAAATAATAGGGCAAAGGCAAAAATTAAATGTAATATCAAAGAAAAAATATAATAAATAAAATATGTATAAAATATAAAAATATCTAATATAAAAAAAACTAATATAAAAAATGAGAAAACTCTAAATCTAAATTTAATCCATTAGGAAATAAACAATCTACATCAAAGATCCATTTGCTCTCTATTTTTGCCAACTCCTTTACATTATTTTCACCCCTCCAATTTTTTTCTTTTTTAAGAATAGCCATAAATGATAGTACAGATGGATCACTTCTGTGTTTATCAGCAAAATGTGCTGAAACGCTATGTTTCATATACCCCCTCTGGATGTTGCCCACGTGCTCCGCAATCCTAGTTTTTAATGCTCTAGTGGTCATTCCTATATATTGCAGACCACATGGGCACCAGAGGAGGTATATGACATTAGTGGAATGACACGTCAAAACCTGACGGATAGGGAACGTATGATGGTTATGATAAGAAGTAAAAGAGTTTTTTTTTGTTTTTTAAATAAAATTTTTTACATGCGACACATGATTTACAGAGATAAAAACCCGGATCAATATTGAAAAATTTGGTGTTATCTTTTTTATCCTTAATAAAACTGGTCGTTAGATGTTGCTTCAAATTTTTTGCACCTCTATATACTATAGTTGGTTTATCTCCTATGATATTCTTAAGAGTTGGATCTGATTTAAGAATGTACCAATATTTGTTAATAATATGTTTTATCTGTTTGGCATTTTCATTATAATTTAGAACGATTGGGATATTTGAGAAGCTTTCCTTCTTTTTCACATTAGATATCTTACTATTTTGTGTTAAAATATCCTTACGTTCTTTTTCTTTGGTTTTATTTATAAAATTATCTAAAGTCTTTGCATCATAATTTTTCTCGACTAGTCTAGTTTTTAGAAACTGTGCCTGTTCATCAAATAATTTGGGATCGCTGCAGTTTTTATATATATGCAAAAATTGTCTATTAGGCATATTATGTAACCATGGGCCATAATGACAACTTGAAGTGTCGATGTACCCATTGACATCGACTTTCTTAAAGAAGGTCTTAGTCTGAATAGTTTTGATTTTCAATATATACATATAAATCGAGGAAGCTAATGCCCTCAGTGCTATGTTCACTTGTAATATGTATATCTGAATGGTTATTTGCCAGATCCTATATCCCCTCTTATTCATATGTATTCTGTTTTATACAGATACATGTCAAATATAAATGTCAGATATATATGGCAAGTCAAATATTCTTTGAACTATTCTTTGGCTTTATATCTGTTGGATATTTTGTATTTATAAATCTTTCTCTTTTCATCATGAGCTTTTCTTGAAAAACATAAGTTTTTTCCGATACCGGAAATGATGGAACGCTGTATGTGTTC